GCAGGTGGGGGGGGGGGGTCAATCGTTTACCCTTTGGGTGGGGATGCAGGAACTTGGTCGACATGGCGTCCTCTTTGTCGATCGCTGCCTTCATCGCCATCCACTTCACTGGCTGGTCAAGGGAGGCAGAGGTCGGCTCAGGGATCGTCATAGCACTGCTGTTTGCGCTGCGCCTCCTGCAAACCGCCAGCCTGCATCCAACCGTGGGACCGCTCATACTGTAAGTGAGAGAGACACAGAGCCACACAGAGAGAGGTGTCTGATGCTGTGTGTGATGGGAATGTGTGTTAGGGCAGTTGTGAGGATGTTTTCGGACATCAGCATGTTTCTGTGTCTGTACGTCTATATCCTGCTCGTCTTCGCCGGCGTCTTCACCCTCCTCTCGTCCGACGAAGACCACCAGTACTTCGGCTCATTCGCCAAAGCCACACTCACACTGTACTCGATGACACCGACACAGAGAGAGAGCGCAGGCCAGTCGTCATGTGCTGTTGGTTGGTTGGCTGCATTACTTTCTACTGTGGTCTTGGCGAGCTCAGTGAGGCGCTGAACAACGCCATCGAGAGCCACGACACGCTGGGGACCGTCCTGCTGTTCACATACGTCATCCTCTCGTCAATCATACTCGTACGGGAGGCTCAGTACCACTCGTCCACTGAAACTAGCCACACACGAGGAATCCCTCTGTGGTCTCTCTCTGTCTGCATCGATAGCTCAACCTGCTCATCGCTATCATGGTGAGACAGACATAAAAGGGGCACCATACAGCGGTTCACTGTCTTCTGTGTGCATGTCTTCTGTCTGGTATCTGTCAGGCGTCGACGTATGCGGTGATTGAGAAGACACAGACCGCCCAATACCAGTCAGTAGACAGCCGAAAAAGACAGACGAATGACAGCGGCTCATTTGTAACGGCTCTCTCTCTGGTCGTGAATGACTGAGTGCAGGTTGCTGCGGATTCGCGTGTTGAATGAGTACCTCACAATGCCTCACCACGAGCGGCTGCCGCCTCCATTCAACCTCATCGCTCGGTGCGACAAGGTATATGAGCTGCATACATCCCCCACATGTGAGCATGATCTGTGTCTATGCAGCTGTGGTCGTGTCGGAGCCCCTGCGGCATCTCGCATTCCTCATCAGCGGACGTCAGTCGGCACTCTGCCGCATTGCCTTCTGGTCGATGAAGGTCATGTACTTGACCATCGACGCCCTCCTATGTACCGTCGCCTTCACACCAATAGCCATCTGCCGAATGGTAGAGGATGTCCAACAAGAGATACGGAGGGGAAAGTATTGGGCGGTACTTTGCATACCCTCTTTCATCCTCCTGGTGCCCCTACTTCTCCTGTGCGAGTACGTCAGCGGAGAGGTGAGACTTAAATCAGAATCACCATGACCCATCCACCAATGACATTTTGCTCTGTTCTCTCCTTTGGAATCTGTGTGTGGTCTCAAAGGAATCTTCCGAGGACACTGAGGAGAAGAAAGCTGAACAGAGGCGCCAAGCACATTACTGGATGAGGAACAGCATCGAAAATTGGATGGAGGCGGCGGACCATCACAACTCAAACTTCCCCGACGTCATGGCAGGTGAGACAGAAATTTCTTACGTATACATCCTGCCAACAGGAAAGACATACAACAGCTCTGTATGTATTCTGGCTTTCTGGACTGAATCTGCAGCCCTCAAGCAGAGTCAGTCTTCTCAATCCGAGATGCTGTCAGGTGAAAATGCTCGCCTACCTTAAACTATCATCTTAAAAATGATCCACGTCTGCGTTTGCGTTATGTCTCAGTCTTGCGGGAGATGCGGAAACAGCAAAAGCGAATGGGTGAGCGACAGACTGGGATGGAGATACGGCAGATGGAGATGGAGAAGCGAGAGATGGAGATGGACGCGCGGTTGAAGAAGATTGAGAACAACGTGGGACAGCAGTGAGGCTTTACAGAACAGCTCTGGATTTGCCTTCCAACTGCAGCCAAGGCGAGCTCTGGCTGCGGGGCTGGTCGCTATAGTATAGCTGTATGCCTGGATGCCCAGCAGCTTTTATGGAAGGCTCTAGCAGGGTTGCCTTTTCTATTTCAGTGTCACATTGAGGAGAGAGGGCAGCAGGAGCAGCGCATGGTTTGCTTTAAGTCGGGGGGATGTGATGGCCTCATGAGTGCTGGAGGGGGTCAAGCGAGGAAGACTGAGACACGACGACTAGCCACTGCTGAAACGATTGCGCTGCTTGGATTGTTTATCATACCAATCAATAGTTCACACTTCAACTCGCCCACCAAGCACAACACACGGCCCAGGCATCACACACACAGCACGCCCAAGCGCACGTCATCCAAACAATCGAAAGCCTCCGTCTCTCTGCGTCTCTTCAAACAGCACAAAATGATACTTGCTGCCAGAACCACCGGTACTCGACACCGGTCCTCTGTTGATGCTGCCCACACGCCTGAAAGCATCGATGCCGCTCCTGAAGCCCCTCTTCGCTGTCGGGTCTTGGTCGTCGGACAGCACCGCGGGCACCGCTTCGCACGACAGACCGATGTCTTGGCAGGAAGGCACTGCACTGCCGAACTGCCGGGTCTTCAGCCGGGCGTCGCACGACACCTGGCCACTCACAGGATTGGCAGTGACGCCAAAGGTGCACGAGGCCGAGGGATTGGACGAGAAGAGCTTGTCCAGCACGGCAGAGAAGCTGTCAGCCTCGCTGGTTGCAGCCACCTCCCTGAAGGCCTCGAAGGTGTAGCACTTCCACATGAAGGGCATGGCCATGACGACACCGGACCGAAACTGCACCGGCTTCATCGCGATGCTGAACTTCCACCTCCCCCTGCCGCCCTGTTTGCTGAACTTGCGCCCGTCCACCACAGACACGGGGGCGAAGGACGGCAGCCGATAGCTCAAGTCGCACTCCGCATAGCTGTCTGGCTTCTTGACGATGATGTTCAGATCGCCGGCCTTCTCGGACGACTCCGAACGAGAGGAGCCCCCTCCAGCAGACTGCCGTGGCGAGAGCGTTGCTGTACTGTTGGGTGCTGAAGAGCCCACAGAGGAGCCGAAGATGCCTTGCCTCGTCGGGAAGGGCAGCTGCAGCGGCTGGGAGGCTGATGGCGTTGATTTCACCTGAGAGGCCGTCGTCGCAGCGGATGCATCTTTGAAGCTGCTGGGGAAGCGAAAACACATGGGGCGTCGGCTGCTAGTGCTGAGCCACGACCAGATCTTTGCACATTCGGCGACCGATAGGATAAAGGACGTCACCAATGCGTGCAGCAGGACCATTGCAAGCCGCCAGCTGCGCCTGGGCATCGTTCTTGTCCGCCTTGCTGCAGATCCCTCATCTTGTCCATAATGCAACCACATCCTTGAACGCCTCTCTCAATCGGTGCGTCCGCTCCCTTCCTCTGCGCCTCTTGACGTGCAGTTTGGGGAAAAGGGCTCGGAAAAATTGCGAGCTAAGATGGGCGCCGCTCCCGATCGAACAGCGATGCAAAAGCGCCAATACAACAGGTTTTGTGCAGCTGCAGTGTGACTGGAAGGCAATGCGACGGAGGCATTCATTGATCTGAAGATCTCCATCGTTAAGCATTGACATCTGATGGGGAGTTCCGGCGGCCTCCGCAGCGCATCTGGCACGCTCTGTGGACCGCCCTACGCCCTTGTCTTCACGCTGCTGATGAATGCCCTTTTATGGCTCGTGGGAAGCGGCGGCGCATCGCGCATCGAAGGTGCAGATCTTCCTTCCATTGTCAACGACAGAGGAGGGACTCAGCAGGGCAGCAGGCCGGCTGTCAGGTCGTCCAGACCACGAACACGGCTGCCGTGCTTGTTACCAGATCGGACCACACATTGCCACGCTGCTGGGGGTGATGATGATGAGTGTTCATGTGGCCCGTCAGAGAGGAGCTGTGGTGGCGGTTTGGGGTCAGGGAGGGGATGGACGAGGCGGAGAGGCAGCTCGTGTCTGTGTCTTTCAAACAGGCGGGGAGTGCCATCATCCAATGCGGGAAAAGGTACGATGGGCAGGATTCACGTTCACACTCATGGCCTCTTTCTCTTTGCTGCTTCTGCTTCAGAAGCGCCCTGCCATCGGTTGAGCCAGAGCTCAGCAAGATCTGGTCCTCTCGCGTTCGCTTTCCTTCCCCGCACCGGTGGCCCTACTCGCCTGCAGAAAGCCGTGAGGCAGCAGAAGTGGCGACGCGCACAGAGGAGGTGGCAAGGCCCACCTGGTGGCTATTCCCGAGTGCATGTGGGTCAGTCGAGTGTGATGGGCATCCCAAAGTTGTTTCGGTGGCTGATCGATCTGTACCCGAGTGTGCGGCAGCGGATCGGTGACACCCTGGGCGACACGACGGTGGACACCTTTTATCTGGACATGAATGGCATCATACACATGTGCACACACGCCAATGTGGACGCAGACTTCGTCGAACATGACGAAGAGGTGACAAGGAAAGCACACTCACACACACCCACATGGCATGGTGTCGTGCATACCTCTGTGTGTGTGTGTGTGTGTGTGTGTGTGTGTGCAGGAGATGTTCCACCGGATCTTTGCCTACATCGACCGTCTGTACAAGATCATCAGGCCCCGGCGGCTCCTCTACATGGCTGTCGACGGCGTTGCGCCGCGGGCCAAGATGAACCAGCAGAGGAACAGGCGATTCCGATCGGCCAAGGAGGGCGAGCTGCTGCTCGAGCAGATGAAGAGCTCCACCAACGTGCGTGCGACAGCACGAGAGAGAGACAGAGACACTCAGGTGTGGACTGGCTGTGCCCTTTGTATGGATGTGTGTGTGTGCAGCCTGACCACAGCCGGTGGGTGGATGGGGATCGGAAGCGGTTCGACTCCAACTGCATCACGCCCGGCACCGACTTCATGTACAAACTCGGACTGGCACTCAGGTGGGTCAGTGGGTGGACGGGCAGATATGCAAGTCACTGATCGGTCATCGTGAGCATTCACATGTGTATCGCCTATCGCAGGAAATGGGTGGCTTACAAGATCCAGACCGACCCTGTGTGGGCTGACGGGGCCAAGGTCATCCTGTCGGGCCCTGACGTGCCGGGCGAGGGCGAGCACAAAATCATGGACTACATCAGAGAGGTACATATCCACAGCACAGCCACAAATCCACCCACCCACAGACCCAAAGAGACACGTTGCTGTGTCTGGTGGTGGTGCAGGCGAGTGCGACAGATCCGACGTGGAAGGGGACGGCTGACAACCCCGCCCCCCTGCAGCACTGCATGTACGGGCTCGACGCCGACCTCATCATGCTCTCGCTCGTGTCACACCAGCCCAACTTCATCCTGCTGCGCGAGAAGATGGCTGTCATACACCCCAGGAAGACTCGAAGGGACCCAGGCACAGGTGAGTGAATGTGGCTGCAGACAGAGGACAGGACAAGGACAGAGGTGTTTGTGTCGTGCAGGTCGTGTTCGTAAGCGTGACCCGATGACGTTCTCGCGGGAGGATTTTGAGATCCTCGATGTGTCAATCCTTAGAGAGGTGCGGCACGATGAGACACACAGGCACGTCGGTCCCTCTTGCTGCATTCCCCTCTCTCTGTGTGTGTCTGTTTCTGTGCAGGTGCTGTACATGCAGTTCCGTGGCATCGCCAAGCACCCAGATCTCACCTTCGAGTGGGACCTCGAGCGGCTGATCGACGACTTCATCTTCCTCTGCTTCCTCATCGGCAACGACTTCCTCCCCCACATTCCCCACCTCGACATAGCGGAGGGCTCCATCAACGACATACTGGCTCTCTACATCAAGCTCCTCCCCAAGCTGGGCGGCTACCTCACCGACAAGGCCAAGCTGCACCCGCAGCGGCTTGAGGTGTTCCTGCGAGCCATCAGCCACAGCGAGGCGCTCTACTTCAGACGGAGGGCCAAACTCGATGACGAGCCGGCATTTGCCGATGCTGAGAAATACAAGGACCACTACTACTGGTGGGTGGGGCGATGGAGGCAAAGAGGACAGCAGACGGGGGGCGGTGGTGTGGCGTGCTTCACTGGAGTGTGTATGTGTGTTTGGTGTGTTTAGGATGAAGCTTGGGTTGCAGCCGCATGACGTGGAGGATAAGAGACGACTCAACCAGTGCTACCTCGAGGTAGACACAACACATTCACGCGCCTGAGACACACCGACACGGACTGCTCTGTGCCTTCTATGTGTCCATCTTTCCATCCATCAGGGGTTGCATTGGGTGTTGCACTACTACCACCATGGCTGCGGCAGCTGGGCCTGGTACTACCCCTACCACTACGCGCCCCTGGCATCCGACCTCAGACACCTCGAATCCCTCAAAGTCGAATTCGACCGGGTGAGTCAAAAAGACAGACAGCAAGGGGACAGGATACTGTCAGAGTGTGTGTGTGTGTTGCTGGTGGCTGTCTGTGTGCAGGGTCGTCCGTTCACGCCGTTGATGCAGCTGTTGAGTGTGATGCCGACGCAGTGCTCAGAGCTGCTCCCACAGCCTTACTCGTACGCACACAGCAACACAACGGCAAATCATGTCTCCGCAGCTGCGTACATGGCCATATCGGTGTGTGTGTGTGTGTGCAGTGCCCTGATGATCAACGAGTCCAGCCCCATCACGGGCTTCTACCCATCTGATTTTCAAGTCGACCCCAACGGCAAAAAGTGAGACAGCAAGAGACGCGACACACATCGATCCATCGACGGCCCTTTGTAACTCCCCCCAACTCGTGCAGGAATTCGTGGGAGTATGTGGTGCGCATTCCCTTCATTGACGAGGAGAAGCTCCTATCCGCCGTCGGGTCCATCAACCACAAGACACAACTCTCAAGACAAGAACGAATGAGGTCAGTCACAACGAGATTCCTGCCACCAATGCACCCTCTCCTTTGCTCTCTGGTCAGAAATCTGCGCGGCCGCGACCACGTGTTCATCCCGCCGGGCTACAGCGACCGCATCGCTTCCTACATCAAAGACGACGCCACCGGCAAGAAGCGACGACCCGGCCGCACCACGGCCTTCGAAATGGACGACGACTCACTCCCCTACGTCGACCTCAGCCTCACGCGCCCATTCGCGAGGTCGCGCACACGAGGCAGGGCCGGTGGTGTGCGGAGGAACCCCATCAAACGGGCCATCCCTCGAGTGCGTGACGGCGAGCTCAGGGCCATTGCCAAGCGGCTGCCGGAGGGCGAGAGGGCAGCAGACAGGGCGGCTGTGGATGTGAGGGTCAAGGGAGCTGAGAGGCTGCACTACTCGACAGGGGGGCGTAGGAAGGACGCCGTCAGCGGGAAGTTGAGAGAGGAGGCTGCGCGTCGGATCGACTCGACGCGCAAGGTGCTGGACTTGCGTGACAAGGGCAGCGGCTCAGAGCTGGCGATGATGGCCGTCAAGAGCGCTGTGCAGCGGAAGAAGCTCGACCTGGACCCTCGGCAGCTGGTGAGGCGGAAGAGGCAGCTGCAGCGGGTCTCAGAGAGCGGCCAGCAGGCAACAGACGGCGAGAAGAGCGCTGACGAGAAGATGGTGCATGGCTGAAGAGTGTGGTGTGATGTGATGTGGTCACGACCGTGACAGTGACTCTGAGCAATTGCATGCACACATACATTGACGGGAATACGACCTGCGTCGGGTGCGTTTTTCGGTTGTTGACTTAACAGCAGCACCGACGGATAAATGGATGGATCGATGGATCTACGGGCGCATTCGTGTATATCATGCAGGGAATTGTCAGTCAATGTGTCCGCACAGGCAGGCATGGCCAGCTCGATATGGAGAGGCTTGCGTACATGCGTCCATGTGCGAACACACACACGAACGAATCACACAACCCAAAATCCAAATCCCAGAAACCAAAGGACAAAACCTCAACGATCCCTCTGGCTGGTCCTCATCTCTACTGCTTCGCCTTCTTGTGTCTGTTGACGAGCTCTCTGTAGAGCGCCATGACGGCCACCATGATGCCCAACATCGTAAGGTCGATCGCGTCACACACACTGACACTGACGCTGACGCCGGGCAACGCCACCTGTGTTGAACAGAGAGGGGACGACTGGGGCACGGCAAAGGAGAGCAGACCGCCGACAGCTATCGGCCACCATGGCCACTGCAGTGCACCACACAAGTACACAGATGGAGTTGGTGAGCATTGAATTAATTGCTGTGGTGTGATATTGTGTGTGGGTGGTACCATGTAGTTTTTGTGTATGCCGAGTCTGTCGGCGATGACTTCACAGCACATGAGGGCGAACACCCACACCATCCGCAGAGGGCTGAACCCACAATACAACACCTGAATCCAGGAGGAACACACAGAGAGTCACTGTCCACCTTGTCCTGCTCGTGTGTGTGGGTGGATGGATGCGACTGACCATGGTTCCATATCCCACTAAAGGCAGCAGTAAATGCACGTGGCGAGCGCCGCCCAGAGCAAGCAACGCACGAAGCACCCTGTGCACAGCAAAAAGGAAACAAACACTCAACACGCCAGCAAACACGCACGCCATCTGTGTGCCTGTCCGCTCACCTGACGGCGCTCACGAGGCAGAAGAGGAGCATGAGTATGACAAAGAAGTACCCCATGGTCAGCGACGGCTGGCCTTCGCTGAGGGGCAGCATCTCGTGCGCCACGAGCCACGAGAGGAGAGGCCTGGGTGGGAGGGGCAGGCGGAGCTCCCATATGAAGGGGAGGAAGCCACGCACGAAGCATATCCCCGGCATGTACAGGAAATTGAACTCATCAACCTGGTTGAAGGACCACACACACAGGTGCACAGGAGATTGAGGTCTATGTGTGGCGTGTCTTTTCTGTGACATACTGTGTAGTAGTCGGTGCCTTCGACAACCGGCCCCAGCAAGATGCGGCCTAGCACATGGTGGCCCCAGTTACCTGAACCAGCACAGCACCACACACACAGAGACTTCCACCAGACAGACGTATTCTTCGCCCTCGCCATCTCACTCACCCAGGAAGATGGGCACTTGTGCGGCGAAGAGGACGAGGAAGCTCTGCCACCTCTGTGGCTGCGAGAAGGCCAGAGTGTGGCGCCACACGAACGTTGACAAGGCCACCACCACACTGTCGACGGCGTGGTCCAGGAACTCCCCACCGCGCGACGACTTGCCTGACCTTCGCGCCTGCTTACCTGCACAATCCACGCACACACGCACCCACGGTCGAATGCGCATCGCTCTCCCAGCGATTCGTGTGTGTGTTTGCTGACCATCCATATTATCAAACACACTGTAGGTCATCCAGAGCAGCCCCATCAGCCCGTACAGCCACCTCTCCGGCCCGCAACACGTCAGCAGAGCACTCAGCGCGGCGCAGAGCAGCCCCAGCCAGCTGATGGTGTCGGGGTGCACCCACAGCGGCACGAACGTCTCGCATATGTGTGTGCAGAGTGGCGAGAGGAATGCATTGTAGAAGGGCGACGTGGCCGGCGGGGTGTACTGGTAGGGAGAGGGGGAGGGGGAGGGAGAGGGAGAAGGGGATTGTGATGTGGGATGTGGCTGAGGGGAACATGATTTGGATGACGTCGATGAGCTGGATGCACCTGCAGGAGAAAGAACACACGTGATGATCTCGGATGGATGGATGGATGGTAACTCTTACCTAATGGATCAGCTGCCATACTGTCTGAACCTGACCTATGCACTTTGGGATGCGCAGATCTCTGGCGTATGCGAGCTTGACTGCGAGCTCATAGCAAGGCGCTGTCAAAAAACGCCTTCCATCCTGCCCGAATCTGTCGAGAATAGCACCTCCAAGACATCCCATGCGTTGATCTTCCCGCTGCTTCGATGGCTGTCGCTGCCGCTGCTTCATCGGCGGCAGTGTCGGTGAAGGAGGAGCAGCCAGAGACCGTCCGATGCACCAACACACAGTGCCCGAACACCGCACTCACCAGGTCAGTGATCGATGGACAACAGCGGACCTCTGAGTGATTGATATGATTGAGTTGCATTGCGTGCGTGCATGTTTTACCTGTGTCGTGCAGGGATGAGGTGCGGACGGGCTGGCCGGACGAGCGGGGCGTGCCGGTGCCGCTGTGCGACAAGTGCGCAGATCTATACCAGAGGGACCAATACTGGTGGGTGAGCGGGGAGCGCTTCTGACGTGTGCGCCAATCTCGTCTTATCTATCTCTGTTGTGCGTGTGTGTGTGCAGTCCCCATTGTATGCAGGTGTACGAGTCGTTTGACGAGGGTGCGCTCAACAACCCCTGGGTGGGATGCGACTTCTGCTCACGATGGGTACACAGGGAGTGCGAACGAAACGCACTCGACAAACGGTATGGATGACTCACGTGCACATCCATGCATGAACGGAAGATGCCCATCTCTCCTTTTGTGCAATTGTGCATCTGTGTGGTGTGTCAGCCGTGCGATCAGCAACCCGTCGATGCACCACAACGCCTTCCTCCTCGTCTACAAGTGTCCCGCCTGTCGGCAGAAGCAGCACCACTACCAGCTCTCTCGCAGAGTCACACCCGCCATGCACCTCCTACCCACACAGGGACCAGCAGATCAGCAGCTGCCCTCGCCCTCACCCCTTCCAGCGCTACTCAAGCGGCTGCGCGTCCCCGCCTGCCTTAGGAGGGAGCTGCTGCGCGACCACGACCTGCAGCAGAGCAGACAGACGCCGCCCTTTCCCGCGCTTGTGACGGCGGCAGAGATCCTGCAGAAGTTCGAGATGCATGCGCTGATGGGCGAGTCGAAGGGCGGGGGAGCGACGGCGGCCACTAACACAAACTCGGCAGCCAGCAAGGCGGCAGAGGAGACGAAAAACTATTGGAAGCAGCCTGTGGAGCCAAGTGAGAGGGAGAGGCCATCCGTCCATCCGTCCACCCATTCACCCAATGCTTGTGTCTGTGTGCGTGCGGGTTCGTGTGCAGGTCCCCTTGACGCCCAGAACAGCGTGTCAGCCGCCCCCAATCTGACCACGGGTGCGTCATCCGCCCCGTTCCCCGTCGCCCAGTCCCTCGCACAGGCTGCTGACCGCACCGCACCCACAGCCACAGCCACAGGGGAGGGCACCGAGCAGGCCGCCGTCACGGTGGCCGAGGACTTTGTGAGCGCGCTGACGTGGTACTTTAACACTTACTTCTTCACCCACCTGTGCACGGCCAGTGAGGTACCCTTCGTCACCGCCAAGATGGCAGAGGTGCAGACACGCGTGGCTGACAAACTTGCCAACAGGTGAGAGAGAAAGAGAGAGAGAGGCCAGAGAGAGAGAGAGAGAGAGACCCAAGAAAACAATGACGGTGGTCCATGGTTGTTGGTGTGTGTCGGTGTGTTTCTGTGCAGCGCGAGCAAGAGCCGCGCGTTCTCGAAGGAGGTGTTGCCTATCGACGTGGCGGGCGGGGTGCACCTGCTGCGGCTGTGCGTGTGCGTCCCCCGGTTCCTCGCACAGTCTCCCAAACCGCAACCGCCCTCCCCCTCACCCCTCACGCCACGAAAGAGGAAGCTCGACGGTGACGAGAGCTCCCTGGAGCCTGTGGATGAAGACCTCATGGCGCTGATCGACAAGTGAGGGGATGGACGCATGTGTCGGAGAGAGCCTTTGCGCATCCATTCATCCATTTGTGTGTGCGTGTTGTGTGTGGTGTGTGGCCAGGGTGAGCATGTTTCTGTCATGGTTTGACAAGCGGCGCAGCGAGCTGCTGGACCGGCACTACCAGTCGCTGGAGGAGGTCGACAAGATGACGGGCGTGGCGGGTGGAAGTGGGAGAGGGGGTGGGGTGAAGGAGGAGGGCATCAAGCAGGAGGGGCACACTGACTGACTGATGCGTGCTGCATTATAATGCAACATGCATCAGTCGGTCCTTCTTGTCCTTCTGCTTGATGCCCTCCTCCATGTATGGCAGACAATTGACGAGTGTGTTCGAATGGATGCGTATGTGATCGACTCTGTCAGTCACGAATTGTCCTTGCATCCATCGATCCATCGATTTGTCACACGGACGAGAATCGGGTCCATCCAACACCAGACAACACACAAGAGATGGGAAGACAGAGAGAGGGAGAGGCTGACCGACCACAATACCACAACACACACCACCACAGCACTCTCTCACGCGGACGTTGGCAGAAGGCGTGCATGGTGCATCAAAAGCATAGGCAGACAGACAGACAGACCCGCAGGTACGTACGTAACGACACTAACACCGACACCGACAAGGCCACCATCATCACAGCCACCAAAAAAGATGTGAGCACCGACGGACAACCCCACGACGAGCGAGGCCAACACACAACCAACACCAGACAGCCAAAATTGCGACGGGTGGGATTCACTCCCACCCCACACAGATGCAACCACCCACACAGCATGCTCCACATTCTCATGGTCCATCCACGTGATATGCCCATCCATGTGTGTGGCCTGCCTGCCTACTAAACCTAAAAACGGAGCACCGACAGACAGAGAGGCAGCCAAGAGAGAAAAACAGATGTGTATTTGTGGCGAAGTGTGGTGGAATGGATCGAACAGAGAGTAGAGGGAACATCCTTGTCGCCCCGACAATCCCTCAGGACGGCTGTGTGCGTACTTACGATGGATGTGTGTGAGTGAATGAATGAATGAATGAAGTGACATGTCTGTCTGTGTGTGGAATGTGTGTCCTTAAGCCTCCCCCTCCCCCTCTCTCTCTCTTACACACGGCTCTCTCCTCCCCCGCATCCAGCAGCCCGCCCACCACACCACCCCCATTTTCTTTGCCTCCACCATTCAGGCATTGAAGCAAGCTGGTCGTCACACACGCAGACTCTCTCACCCACACACAGACACGGACACGCACACGCACACGCAGCCACAGAAATGAGTACGCACACAAGCAGGCAGGCAGGCAGCGAGTCAGTCAGTCAGTTACGCAGCTGTCACTGCGTAAATTGGTCCATCCGTCCCATCCACCTTGCTTACATCCAACCAAGACAACGGGCTCATCCTTCCGTGTGCCTGGCTGTCAGTCAGTCAGGCAGGCGGCCGAACAGATGGCCGCACGTCGCCCGCCGTCTATTGTACGATCCACCCCACACACCAGCCCAGCCATCATCCCGCGATCCATAAGAATTTCCCATATCCACTTTGCTTGCCTTGCTCCCTCAACCGCCCGCCCGCCCGTCCCCCCCCTGCCGCAGCGGCTGGCTAAGCAGGCCGCCCGCGTGTGAGAAAAAAGGTGAGATAGTGGTGAGTAGTTGTGTCGGCTGCACCATGGATGCGTGTACGTGTGTCGACGTCGGGTGCGGATCAGCGCGCGATCCGTACGCATGAATGAATGCAGATGAGGTAGAAGAGAGAGAGTCGTATGTGTGTACGTATGTATGTATGTGTGTACGTATGTGTGTACGTATGTATGTATGTAATGTGTGCAATGCGCAAGTAGTGTGTCGGTCGATCCGTCTGGCTATCCATCTATCTATCCATAGGTGGCAGGCAGGCAGGCAGGCAGGCAGGTCGCCAAGCCGCCCGCCAGCCGGTATCCTCCCTGCCCTGGGCTGCCCTCCTCTTCTCCCATTCCGCTGTGTCCACGCCATCGATTCGGATGGGATGGGTCACAGGGGAACACCACAGCACAACCAACACAACACAACACAACACAGGCACCCAGCCACCCAGCCAACAGGCCCGTGCCGCCAGGGCAACACCCCACAGGCCAAAAAGAGTCACACACACCACACACACCAGATACACAGACGGCACGACCGTCGTCCGTTTACGGAATGTGATTGATCGCACAATCAGCCAGCCAGCCAGCCAGTCGGAATGGTGGAGAGCGAGGTGGCGTCCATCCACTCGCTGTGTGCACGAGACGACAGTGCATCCATCCATCCATCCATTCATCCATTCGTCGCTGTGGTCGTGATTTCCGTGAGGTAGTCAGGCAGGCAGGCAGTCGGGCAGACGAGGGCCCCGCTAGTCCGTAGCGCAGGCTCTCGCCTGACTCACACACACACACACACAAACACAGCCAGCCAGCCCATCTTAAACCAATCCCCTTGCGTGTTGAAGCCAACCCGTTTCCCCCATCCCGTCCCCCCAACCACACACACAGGCGAACACACATGCTCCCCCGCTGACCAAAAGGCCGAGCAAAACGAAGTTGCCTTGCTCCTTTGTTGTTTGCTCTTTTGGTCTTGCGGTCGTTGGTAGGGAAGAAAGGCAATCGATTTCAATGAACCGAGGAACCACAACCACGACGAACGCGCACACACAGAAACACACATCCCACAGGCAGGCAGTTTTGTATGTGTACATGTGAATGAGTATGAGTATGGGTATTCCCAATCAATCAAGCAATCAATCAACATGTGAATGCAATAAAAGCACCAGAGGCAGCAAAAGGAAAGAAAAATTCCATCTCGCACCGCACCGCCCCGCCAGCCGATGACAGACCGACCGACCGACCGACGGACAGACGGGCAAGTGGGCCACATGGATTCCATTGAGGTACACAAACACACCGGGCGAATGAATGAATGGACGAAGGAGGGATACCAACGCAAACAAACAAATGTGGATGAAATCTGGATGCATCATAACACCGGAATACATAGTAGGTATACAGCTAGGTAGCGGGCTGGGCAGACGAACGAACGGACGAACCAACCAACCAAGAGACGGGGCCATGATCTCTCTCTCGCAATACGGTCCACCACTACACAGCCAGACAACGACGCACCAGCCAGCCAACGAATGGACGGACGCGCCCACACACCACACCACAGCACACTACACATCGGTTGCTCTCTCTCCCCATTTCAAAATATCATTTCATGGGCACGTGACGCACCCACAGACGCACACATGGCATGGATGAGTATGGAGTATTGCAGGCAAGCATGGAAACAAGCCGGCAGCTGAGTTGGCCCCCGCCCCCATTCCGTCGCTCTCTCTCTCGCGTAGCAGCCAGAAGCCGACACTAATTGAGAAAACACGCACACACATATGCACACACACTCGCGACGTACGGGACGCAGGACACGGACAGATGCCCTTGGACAGACAGAGAGGGCACGTGCGCGTGTGTGTGCGCGTGCGGGTGTGTTGTATGCATGTTCGCAGCCAGATGAGAGCAATCAAGGCAAGGCAGCGCGAGCGAGGTGACGAACTCAGCCAGCGAGTATGTGATGGTGTGCGTCAGCCAGATTGGGAGGAGGGGCATGGTGTGTTGGTCGCATTGCAACCTCTATCTCAGATCGACATGATCAGATAGATAGACAGACGGCCGCACCAACAGACAGAGTGAATGGATGTGGTGTGGTGTGGTGTAGTGTGGTGTGGTGTGATGTGATGACATGATGAAAAAATCCCCACAAATACGCAGCACCGCCCGCTCTCTGTCCCTGCCAGTGTTGGGCAGCGATGAATCCTCCAGCCAGCCAGCCAGCCGGACAGATGCACAGATGAAGGTACGCAGTGGATGGCATGTGGTTGGTTGGTTGCTTGCTTCAGGTAGCCAGCCAGTTACTAAGTGGTGAACAAAGAGATACGAAGGACCAAGGAACGAACGGACGGGTAAAGGACGGCACGGCCGGTTGGCTGCTTGAAAACGCACTCACTCAGTTGCCTAGAAGCGTCGCATCACACCACACTTACACCACACCACACAACGACACGCTCTCTCTCTCTCTCTCTCTGTGTATCCTCTATCTCGGCACACACACACACACACACACACAATGCCCAGCTGCCCAGCCAGCAGGCAGGCAGGCAGGTATGCGAAATGAATGCGAGGCAGTGAGTGAATGAGTGAGTGAGCCAGGTTAAATACCGACAGAAGAAGTGTGATCATTCATTCATCCGCGTGTGTCCCGACGCACCCACCCAGCCACATACCCACACGAGGAAGCACGTGTACCGACCACGAAAGCACTTGACAACGACCAACGAGAGGCGATTGAGGCATCCATAGCATTCCTTGGATTCGCTCGTCCGTGTGAGGGAGTTGACAACTCCTGGACCAGCGAACAAACAGCAGAGAGGTAGGGAGACAAAGGAGGGGCCAGGCAAGAGAGCGAGTGACGCATCCAGGCGGCCACTGTTCCATCCATCTCTTATCCATCCAGAGCACAAAGCCGGGAAAGCCGGGAAAGCCAGGTAAGGCAGGTAAGCCACGTTAGGAAGGAGGTCATCAGGACATACACCAACAAGACAGACAGACAGACGCAGGCAAGGCAAGGCAAGGCACCACACAGCAGCTCTCTTCAACACGCGGACGAGACACGGAAGAGTGGCTAGAGCGATGGGTGGGGTGGGATGGGGTGGGTGGCATGGACCATCATCTAGTCGCTCTCTCTCTCTCCCTCTCACACACACACACACACACTGACACACACAGTGAGGGATACACAGACAGGCAGGCAGACACAAGGGCGAGAAAGGGATGGTACAAAAAAAGGCAGACTGGCTGCTGGGCCGCCCCACCACACACCACATACCCGTGCACTTAGACATTCACGCATACACACATACAGATGTAGAGAAGTCTCTCCTGGCAGCCACACCGCACCACGACAGGCACCGCCTATGTGGTTGCGGTTTGGCTGTGGTGGTGTATGTCTGGCGGCAGCAGGTTCAGGTTGTTGAGATAAAGCTCCTCCAAACCATCAAACGGACCACAGTCATACTGACACACAACACGCACACGACACACGCTCCTTGGGTGTGGAGCAGGGGGCTGGTCTGAGTGGGTGTCTCACCTCGCTACAGCTGCTGCCGGTGCTGGTGTGTCCCATCTGGAGGGCCTTGGAGAACACGAGGCCCCGACGGCCGTACTTGAGGTCCAGCACTTGCGAAAACAGATAATCCAAATAAGCACCTGAACCACACACACACACACACACCTGACGTACGCACGCGGACAGGTCGATCTCATCATCGTTGCCTGCCTCTCAGGTACCCACCCGATTTGGCCAGTTTGTCACACGATGCAGTGACGGTAACTGACCCAGCCTCCGGGAAGATCCCCACCACCCCCCGGCACTCCACTGACGACAGCTCTCCCCTCACACGATCTCTCACACCCTCCTGATGCCGCTGCTCCCCTCTACCACTATCACCACTACTGCTACTGTTATGCTGCTGCTGCTGCTGTGACGGCCTGGTCGTGCCCTTCTGCCTGGCGAGCAGTGCCTCCCATCTCTCCGGCTGACAGTCGGACCTCTTGGCCCCAAAACCCACGCCCATGCTCATCCGACCCCCACTGATGCCGCTATTGCTGTTGCTGTTGCCGATGGATGTGCTATCGGGGCTCGATGAAGCCGTGCTCACGCTCGCCTGGTCTGCCGTGGACTGCGGCCTGCCCGTTGCGGACGCCGATGCCGATGCTGGTGTTGGTGCGCGGTGTGGATGGGCTGGCAGTGGGTGGGGGCTGACCCTGCTCGCTGGGCCGGCGCCTCTCTCCGCCTCGCCAGCGTATTGCGTGCTGGGGGGGCTGGGGGGCGCCTTGTACAGCAGGGAGGGTGAAAAATCTGGGGGCGGGGGGATCGCGGCCGTGTGATTGGTGGCCATGGTAGTGGTGCAGAGGGTACCCGGCGCCGGGGGCAGCGGCACACCACCACCGCCCCCTGCCGTCCGGTCGACCGACCCCCACACGTCGTGCACCTCGTGCTCGTCTTCATCCACCGACGAGATGGTGGAGGGGTCATGCGCGTGGCTGGCGAGGGAGGGGGGAGTCGGGCCAGGCAGCCCCCCTCCCGGCGGCCGATCCGACCCTGGCAGCGATAACGATCGCGTGAGGAACAGCGGGGCGCACCCCGGTCTGCCCAGTGTGGTCCTGAAGGCCTCGGTCAGCGGGGCCTGGGCACTCGTCGACCCACCACCAGACATGTCCGGCGCCGCAGACTCACCCTGGGGAGTGGCCGGGGCGGTCGTGCTCGCGTGGCTGCGAGGGCCGGTGGTCGTTGACGGGGTGCGCACTGACACGGACGTGTATGACGAGATGCTGCATCCTGGTCTGGGGGGCAGGACGGCTCTCTGCCGGGTCTGGTCGTGGTCGCCTGCTGCCTTCGAGCTTTCGTCGATGGTGTTGTCGCGCGGGCAGTCGGCTGATTTGCCTCCTGTCCCTGTCGCTGGTAGTTGCTGTGGTGGTGGTGGTGGCGGTGGTGGTGGTGTTGGCCCCCCTCTGTGCTGTGTCTGTGTCTGTGTCTGCTGGGCGGGGGAGCTCTCATGGCTGTGCGCGGGGGGCTGGGACGACGAAGTGGCGGGGGCACCATCGCTCTCGGGCCGAGACACTGGAGACGTCACTGCACAAACAAACAAACAAATTAACACATCAAAGGAGCAATGCCTCCGCATCTGCCCTCTCTCTCTCTCTCTCTCTCTTGTCGTTCCTCACCTTTGCTGTCTTTGCCGGTGACGTTGGTGTGTTTGGTCTTGTCCAGGAACTGCCAGTAGTGGAACGACACATTGGAATGGCCGTTGGAGAAGGCCGACAAAGGAGTCCCCGTGCGACTACCACTGCCTCCATCTGCACACACACATGGTTCTCATCATGACCAGCGCATCAATGATCATTTGGTGCTCCTTCCCTTCCCCTACTTACCGGTGTTCCCTCCCTCGTTGGGTGCCGCTGATGACCCCGGGAAGAGAGCAGGGTTGGAGGCGCGCAGCACGCGTGAAGGGACGAGCTCCACACACTGCTCGTTCTCCGGGGGCGAGTAGGAAGTGTCGTGCACTATCACGTGGCGGCCACCGTGGCTGCGTGGATGAACAGTGAGTGGCATGGCGTGCGAAAAGGAAGGTGCTCGGTAGGTGATCTGTGCAGGCGGTGTGTGTGTGGTTGGTGCGTACCGGTATAGTCTGCAGACGTCCTGGCACTTCTCCACGAGCATGTCGCTCAGCTTGGTGTACCCAAACATGACGGGATTCAACACCTGGCCGTACCTGAACGACACGACCGGCCATCGCGCTCCATTGCCGAAGACGGTCTGGCGTGTGTGTGTTTAGGCGTACATGTGCGAGAACTTGTATTTGAGTTGCGAGAGCAGGACTTCCCTGTTGTTCTCGGCCAGCAGCTTGCGCATCTTCTGCTTGACCTCGTCCACACTGGTGACGGCAGGTCTGTTGTCCTGCGACTCGTTGAGGAATATGGCGCTCACGAGGCCCTTGCAGGTGGCCACCGGCTGCAGCACGTCGTTCTCGTACGCTACCAAACCCTGCGATATGGCTAGCTGCACGATGTGCGACAGCTGACCCAACGTGTAGTACCTGAACCATCCACACAACATACAGCGCACATACCAATGATTATCACCAAGGTATGCGCGTGAGGCCGCGTACCGCAGACAGACAGGCCCGTCGGCCTTGAGTTTTTTGGCCATCCCGTATCTGCCGCCGCGGAACTCATACTGCTCCGCACACCCGCTACCCACACTGGCGTCGTCATGACCACCACACACACTCCCCGCTGTGGACCCGTTGTTGTTGGTCCCGCCAACAGCACCGCTACCACCACCGCCACCACCACCACGCGAACTCGCCGACATGGGCGGCTGGGCGCTTTGCGCGTCAGGCGAGGCTATGGGGAGGGGCGGGGTCGGCGGGGGGTTGATGCTGAGACTGTCCTGCGTGCCAGCTGTCACCTGAGTCGCCTGCTGCTGCTGCTGCTGCTGTTGCTGCTTGGGTGTGCAGCGAATGAGCTGCTGCAGGTACTCGTTGACGGCTCGCCACACGTGCATGGGGTAGGGGTTGTGCGGGTCCTTGGGGTCCACCCAACCCTTGAACCAGCCTGCACACAGAGAGAGGAACAGACGCGTAAGTGGCCCCATCTCTGCCTCCCTGTGTGTGTCAGTGTTGTTTTGGTGGCGGTGATCTGTCTGTCTGTCTGTCTGTCTTACGTGGTGTCTGTTTGAAGTACATGACCGTCTTGGCCTTCAGGTTTCGCTCCACCACATATTGGTCGGGCATGGCCGAGTAAAAGGCCACAAAGTTGGACTCCAACGTAGACGAACAATTCAACTCTGCACACACCGCACACAGCACGACACACACACACAGACACGTGGATGATTCCTTTTGCATACAGCGGAACAGGCCTGTCTGCAGATGCACAAACTTCCGGCTGGCCATTTCGCCCGTCATATTCCCCTGCCTGTCTGAGTCTATGTGCGCGTCTGTGTCTGTCCGTGTCCACTGCTCCACCCAACTCAGCTCAGGTCAGCAAGCACACTCACCCTGCAGTCTGTGTTTGACTTCGAGCTGGTAGGGTCTGATTTGGTCCTTGTACAGCGTGAGTATGGCCAGATTGAGCAGGAACTTCTCCTCGTTGCTCAGCTGCTGGCACGCGGTGCTCGATGAGGCCTTCGAGGCCGCCGCCACCCCTCCTGCACTCGCCGGGGGAAACATTGACGACGGAGCGGTGTCGCCTGTTGGCATCACGACCTCGGGAGCCTCGCCACAGAAAACATGTCAAGCTCGCAAGCTTAGCTCGCAGATCGCCTGCAACGACCAGAGAAATGGGTCCCACACGGCGCCTGGCATCAGCGATGGGCACTGATGCCAACATCGAGGACCATTTTCCGTAGATCTGCTGCCGATCATGAAGATGTGTGCCTTCCTCATCGAGACTGATGGTGATGGTGAGGAGTCCCGCAAGTGGATCATGGAGCCGGGCCGCACCTACATTGTTGGGCGTGAGCAAGATACGGCGGATGTCTGGCTGGGCCACTCAGAGATGGTCAGCCGCAGACACGCTGAGCTACTGCTGGAGCGAGATGAGGCTGCAACCGACGGCTTTTTCCTTTTTGTCAAGGACCTCGACACCCGGAATGGCTCATTCGTAGGCGACGAGCGGCTGTCCGGCGAGAGGAAGCTGCAGATCAGCGAGGCGCAACGATTGCGCTTTGCAGAAGACAACCCTCGGAGCTACAAGATTCGACTCAAGGAGCAGCCCAAGAGTGCCTCCCCTCCCCCTTCAAGCGGTGCACAAGCGGCAGAGGCGGCCAACGGTGGCAAGCGGAAGAGGCGGGGCTGGGATGAGAAGCCTGAAGACGCGGTGGCTGGCCCCCCGGCTGCAGCACCCCTCCCCCCATCCATCCCTGGACTTGCTCATGCCACCAGTGCGGCCAAGGAGAAGCGAAAGCTGCTATGGGCCGCGAGCAAGAAGAAGGACACCGACCTACGGCAGCCACTCGAGCACCAGCAGCAGGAGAGCACCGTCAAATTCGCGTCAGCCGATGCACAGGGCCCGAGCCAGTCGGCGCTGTGGGAGCAGAGCTTCACCAACGACGACGCAAGGAAACACAAGTTCCTCAAGCTGATGGGCGCCACCAAGGGAGCCGGGGGTGTGGGCGGGGGAGGCAGCCAGAAGGCCGCCAAGAACGCGTCGGAGGGCGCCTCTACTGCAGCAGCCGCTGCGGAGGAGGTGGCTCGGATGCAGGCGAGGGATGTGGAGCTGGAGCAGCAGTTCTTCTCGGGCATGAAGAGGAAGGACGGGCGGAAGGTGGGACTAGGCATGTGACAAGGGAGGCGGCTCGGCTGATTTAAGCCTCTGTATGAGTGGATACACTGTGTATGTATGCCATGGGGTTGATTGGGTGCACAGACAACATCTATTTGTACTGATTGATCGGTGTATGGTATGAGTGCGATAGACAGCAGGAGTCTCACTTCCCTATTGCCTAGCTGCGCACACGGGGAGGGGAGGGGTATTCCTGTCTGCTTTGCTTCCGTCCGAGCTGACTCGTGGCTGGCCGCTTCATTCGTGTTGCGATGAAGTGATGAGCTCTAACACATCCTGATTGATGGACACAGCAAAGACAAAATGTGCATCCATGTTGGTGAGACCCTCAATTTAATGTCGTCAACCCACCTTGAGTGCATCGATTTCTTCCTGACGCCTTCGGGCTCTCTCCTCATAAGTCTGCATGAACCAACCGCATTCATGTTGACGGCAAATTTTCTGTGCTGCTTTACCATGGTTTGCGCCTGTGGTCCACACAGCTGCTCCATTTGCGCAAGGGCCACTGTGTATGAACCAAGCCACGTGTGCGTTGGGGTAACAGTGTTCACAACTTTGTGCAGTACCTGTGAGGGCATTCAGCTCTGCCATGACGCCGCCCATCTGCTGCTTGCCCTGTAGGCATCCAGCAAACCCCCGAAGGGATTAGGCGAAACTGTCAGGTTGAACTTACCTCCTTCAGTTTGCCCCGCTGGATGGTCAGCTGGTCCTTCAAATCACGCTGCGTTCATGTCACAACACAGAGACGCATTGGTGCATCACTGCTGCGCCGGTGGCTTGCCTTGTAGGCCTTCTCTGCCTTGATTTCCTCTCGCAACGCAGAAAGGGAGGCTGCATGCACGGTGCCTGAATTGCAACATACTCCTGTGGCCACTTCAACTCGGCTTCCTTGTGGATACGTCGGCCATACCTGCCTGCCTCTGCGCTCGTCTGATCACGTTGACGCTTGCCGTGAAGGCGTGAGCAGCACTGCACGCAATACAGGATGTGAACTTGTGCAATGGATTCTCATGTCATTGAAATCCACACCGTGTCATTTCTCTCGGCAGCTTCCTTGCTTCCTGAAATAAGGAACACCGTGTGGCACATAGTGAGTCGGTTGGAATCCAAGGGGAGGCGATCACCTTGCTGCGGATGGCATACAATTTGCCGCGGACCAGGCGAGCCCCCTGGGTAACCACTCCCATGGCAGACAGCTGGAGTGTTCAGGACACCCATCATGGCCGTACCTGTTTGAGCTGCTGGACAGCAAAGGTGTAGGTCTGTTCGAGAGCATCCCTGTAGGCACTCTCATTCCGATACACGATGACCTAAATCGGGAGAAGAAGACACAATGTACGCCAAGGAGACAGACGTGCAGGAGAGAGAGCATCGCCGTACCTGCTCCTGCAGCTCCCTCTCTCCCTGGCCCACCAACGCCAGTGTCTCCTCGAGATCAGATGAAAGCTAAATGAGACACGGCGAGAGGAAACGGTACCGGCGAGTTGGCAATCAAATGATGTGTTTACCTCCTGTATTTCTGCTGTCGCTGCCTCTACAGTGGCATTGAGGCCCTCCAAACTCTGAGACGGACGGACAGGAAAGGAGTTCCGTCCCATGTGCGAAGCGCCTTGTGTATCAACCTGTATCAGGGCTGCCTTCTGTCTGCTGTTTGATATCTCATCCTGGCTGCACGCGTCATCCTGTAAGGACGAGACATGCGTACAGATTGAAGGCAGGCGTCGACCTCACCGTGCTTCTCTCTGCAGCATCCTTCTGCCTGATGTGTGCCATCAAATCTGGAAGGTGGACACAAGGAAGTGTACACTGAGTTATGCCTGTCTTCGTGGATATTGAGTGCCTGCCTCTGATTTTGTCTTTGACAAGCTGCAGGGGGTCATCGCTGGTGCCCGTCGACGCAGGTGAAGTACCCACCTACACAGACATACACACAGAAGAGGGCGAGCTCATGGCTTCTGTTACTCCCCGGCTCAGCCCGTCACCTTTACATCAAGTGTGTCGTCCTGCTTATATCGATGCTCTTCTGCTGACACTTGTAACAAGCTGAGGGTGCCAAGAGTCGGCACGACGAGGCTCTCGTGGTTGATGTTTGACAGCATGAAGAGCACGTCCTGCAGGGCCGCCGTCCCAGACGTGTGCTTGCGCAACTGCAACGACATTGCAAAAGAGCAATGGCGTGATCGCAGCCGCAGATGCCTCCTTGTCTGCTTACAAGTTTTGGAAGGTAATCGAGCTTGAAAGCGCATTGCTTTTCTATGCTTTTGCTGCGACGTCTGTCCGAATCCAGCTGCCTCTCTGAACGAAACACGGTCATCGTTGGACACCTGAAGATCCCGTACATACACGCATACTCGTCAGTCTCAGTTTTCGTCGCAGCATTCCTCCTGCCTGCTTCTTCTCGGCGAGAAGAGGCCCCTGACAGATGTATGGAGAATCGGAGAGATGCATGAAGCGTGTGTTCACCTCTGAATTGATGCTGTCATCGATGTTTTGCAGCTGGTCTTGTAGTGCTGCCAGGGCTTGATTCTTCCGCTCCAGTTGCGCAACCAGCTGGTGTTGCAGGGAAATGGCAGCCGAGCCCAGCTACGGAAAGAGAATGGTAGACGAACACCGTTTTCTTGCTTTTTGTGTCTTCCACGATTCCACGACCTGTTTGCGTGTGTCGTGCATTTCTTGGAGGCTCTTGTTGTTGAGTTCGGATGGAGAGTCCGTCGGAGTTGCAGATCCAAGCTGATGCACAAAGGTCAGCGCTCAGCTCTGTTTGCCTATCCCTCTCTACCTGAGAAAGAGGAGAGGGAGGATCTGAAGGCAGGAGGGAAGTGGTCATGCCATCTGTATTCTCTTTCTCTTCTGCGTTGTCAAGGGCCCTTTGAGCTGCCAACTGGTCTGCTGCTCGAATGGCGGCTTCGACCGCCTGTATCTGTTCTTGCAAGGTGTCCTGCCGCTGTCCATAGGAGCGACGCACGGAGAGGATATCTACCCCAGATGACCACAATGCAAAAAGCCGATGCACGGATCTCTTGCGGTCCATGGTACCATTCTCCATTTGGTGGATGCGCTTTCGTGTCTCGTTCTTCTGGGATTGCAGTTTGAGTGCCTCGGCTTCATGTGATTCGAGCTCAGTCCTGGCAGCTGCAAACACACACAACAGCTGGGCCGGACGGAGGAGTGAGAAGGGATGTGTGTCTTACCTTCAAGATCCGCCTGGATCTGCCGTATATCCTCTGCCAATCGACGCTGTCTCTCAAAGCCCGTCGCCCTGCTTCTATCGCACCTGAGCACACATCGAAGCGGCAACAAACATACTCATCGGGAGACCCGCACACCGCATGGCTTACTTCTCCTTTATATCGGCGCGTCGGTCGTGGACCTCATTGCCAAGTCTGTGCAGGCGCTGAAAGAGATCCTTTAGAGATCCCCCGAGCTGCGCGGCCGGACAAGATCTGGTACGGAAGCTGTGATGTCACTTGTGCTCGATGAGCGCACCTGTCTGAGCTTGGGATTTCTCCTCCCCTCAGCGTTGCGTAAGAAGGTTGCCGCGCTGCTTGGCCACGCGGACAACACTACAGACAGGACAAGCGGTACTGCCCCCAATCCAATCTGCATTCAGGCGCACAGATTAATTACGCGTAAACACTGTGCAAATGTAAAAGAAATAAAGTGTTATAGGTTTACACGAGACAGAAGTCCCGGACGTCGTGTTGCGGTACCTCTGGGCAGGTGGGTCTTGTGCAGTGTGTACATGACCAGTCCAACATCAACTTCTCCGTCTTTTTCATCGATCTTTGTTTAAGCGATGTTGATCACCGTGTGTGCATTAGCCATGAATCCCATTTAATGTCTTTCACCAATAGCTCGGTGTCCCACTTCTACTACGTGATCTTGGTCTTGATTTCCTTGATGTGTTTCTCCACCTCGGTCAATCGCTCGCCCATCGACAGCTGTCGCCCATCCATCTGCTTTTGCTGTGACTGCATCTCTAACAGCTGGTTCTGCATCTCCCGCAATACTGGGTTGCATCGCAAGTGCAGAGATGACTGGGCTGTCTTGTTTACGGTCATTATCACCTGACAGCGTCTCGGACTGAGAAGACTGGTTGTACTTGACGGCTGCAGAGCCAAAACGAGACACAACTTATCTTCTTTGCAGTCTGGCCGTGTGCGTTTCTGTCACACCTGCCATGACGTCAGGGAAGTTTGAGTCGTGATGATCCGCGGCCTCAATCCACTTGTCGATGCTGCGTTCGTATTTAACCCAATGGCTCTTGTCTCTGTACTGCTCGCTCCGACGTCTCTGCACACAGATTCCAAAGGAAAGAGACTGGACACCCCATTCTGTCAATATTTGACGTTCTCACCTCTTCTGACGTGAGGTATAGAAGATAGAAGGGCATCACTAGGATGAGCAGGGCTGTTTGGAATGCCTCCCAGTACTTTCCCTCCCGTATCTCTTGTTGAAACTGATCCAGTCCATGGTAGATTTCTATTGGCGTAAAGGCGACAGCGTGTAGCAGGGCGTCGACGGTGACGTAGATGGCCCTCATCGACCAGAAGGCAATGCAGCAGAGTGCCGACTGCTGTTGTCTTTGTTCGCTGATGAGTTGGCGAGATGCCGCAGGGGCTCCGACACGACCACAGCTGCAGAGACACGATAATGCTCACATGGGATGGGTGCAGCTCATGTCTCTTGTCGCACCGACCGATGAGGTTGAATGGCGGTGGGAAGCGCTCGTGGTGCCGCATATTCAGATACTCATTCAACACGCGAACGCGCAGCAGCCTGCAGAGATGAGCGAAGAGAGAGGGAGCCCTTATTTTTCGCTGTGTGACTGTCTGTCTCTTTGTCCCTCGGCTGGTGTCTTGTACTGGTATTGGGCTGTTTGTGTATGCTCGATGGCCGCATACGTCGACGCCTGACAGATACCAGACACACAGACACGCAACAGAAATGAATTGAGCCCATGTATGACACACTCTCAGGTCCATGTCTCACCATAATGGCAATGAGCAGATTGAGCTATTGATGCAGAGGGAGAGAGACAACAGAGGGAGGGAGACAACAGAGGGAGTGGTGCTGAGCCTGCCGTACGAGTATGATGGAGGATAGGATGACGTATGTGAACAGCAGGGCGGCCCCCAGCGTGTCGTGGCTCTCGATGGCGTTGGTCAGCGCGTCGTTGAATTCGCCAAGGCCCGCGAAGAAACTACACAACACAAGAAGACGGAGAGAGGTGTCCCTTTCTGTCTGTGTGTCGGTGTCATCGAGTACAGTGTGAGTGTGGCTTTGGCGAAGGAGCCGAAGTACTGATGGTCTTCGTCGGACGAGAGGAGGGTGAAGACGACCGCGAAGACCAGCAGGATGTAGACGTACAGACACAGAAACATGCTGATGTCCGAAAACATCCTCACAACCGCACTGACACAGACACCCATCACACACAGCATGAGCCGCCTCTCTCAGTGTTCGCTCTCTCTCACTGACAGTATGAGTGGTCCGACGGCTGGGTGCAGGCTGGCCGTTTGGAGGAGGCGCAGCGCAAAGAGGAGCGCCACGACGATCCCTGAGCCGACCTCCGCGTCCATTGACCAGCCAGTGAAGTGGATGGCAATGAAGCCGATGATGGAGACGCCGGAACACATATCCACATAGTTCCTGGATGTTGTGCCCACACACCAACAGCGAACAAATGAAGCCGCCAGCACGAAGCCTGACACTCACCATCAGTCGGCCCAGTACGCTGCCTTCAGCCGGATGAACTGTACACACAGGGAGTACACAGAGGCATCTCTGGTCTGATCTGTCTTACTTGGAAGATTTCCAGGAGGATGAAGCCGGTGCCGGTCAGCACTGCCCCCCACAGCCACACCGACGGCCACACCCACGCCATCATCATGCCGCTGTCTCCCTTGATCGACTCGATGTGCAGCAGCACAAACGCCACCCTGCGACACACACACAGAGAATAAGTGCTACTCTGCCGCCTGCATTGTTTCTGGCTGCAGCCTTACATGAGCAGCATTGACAGCACGCGGCTGATGAAGACATCACGGGGTGACGGTTTGTCAATCTAGCATTCTACAATTTGACTTCCGCAAAATATTTGGTAGGGTCTGTCCTGCCAATGCTTTTCGACGAGAGAGATGCAGTTGGCTGTCGGAGTCATTGGCAGCAGAGGGAACGAGAAGACATACCGTCTGACACTCAGGGGGAAATATCTTAACTGCGGCTAACCTTGCGTGACGACAGTGAGGGCCTCTGAGGACTCAAGGAGCGCAAACCACTCACTCTCTTTGCATCCAAGTGACTCTTCGAAGACCGTTTCGCTTGTATCGCTGCTGAAGTTGGCCGTGAGCGCCTGATGCGATGGGACACATCCAATGCAGAAGTGAAGACTGCTGTGTGTCTCTTCGTCTTTGTCATTGTTTACTTCCTGCCAGTTGGAAATATTCTCAAAGTCACTGACACACAGACACAGAGACGTGCAGATGTGCGCATCGCTATTCAATCAGCCTCACTCTGTGAGGGCGTCCTTCGGTCGCATTTTCATCAGCTTGCGGAAGACGGCACAGCAGCAAAGGCTGACGAGGCCCAGCCACTTAGAGCGGTCCTTCAGGAACTTCTTCGCGAAGGGTACCACCTCTTTCAGACCCTGAGCTTGCACTTTTTCCACTTTCACGCCTCGCTCGAGCAGCTCCATGACCACGTCTCCAGCCACGACAACCATCGCTACGACGACTTTCGGATTCTCGGTAACGGCAACGTCCAGAGGCGTATCTCCGTCCTGTCAGAGTCACAAGCAGGGACAGTTCCGGCACAAGGCTCGATAGGTGCAGTGCAGCCTACGTTGTCTTTGATCTTCAGCAGCTGTGGATTCTTTTCCAACATCACCGCCGCCACATCTCCTTGGCCATAGTCTGCAAGAGAGGGCAAAAAGACGGATTGAAGACTCATGCACTTGTGTTGTTGGTTATCTTTTGCAGGAGTGACTGACTTGCTGCCTCGTGGAGAGGCGTGCTGCCAAGCTGGTTAACAAAATGAAGAAGACAAATGCTGTTCAATGCATCGACCGAGAGTCCCTTGTCTCACCCTGTTGCGAGCCTCCAACACATGCTTTCCACCCCACTGAACGAATTTCTCCACAACACGAAGTGACCCTTTCACTGCTGCGTAATGAATAGGCGTCTGGTGTGGAAACTAAAGACACAGCATGAAAGCAGCAGTGAAGACACTGCTCCGACACTGCTCGAGAATAAGTGTTATTGTCGAGCGGTGTCGAAATTACACTTGAGACGGTACCCTTTTGTCCCAGCGGAGAGTGTTATTAACATTGTCAACCAGGGTGAGGAGGACGTCTATCTTCAACCAGTGTCGTCCATGCAGCCAGTTGTGCAGCAGGACCTCAAAAACCTCCACACGCGAGCAGTTCACTGAGAAGCACACACAAGAGTGCTTGGCTGCATATGTGCACCGATGTGACGATGCCTACCTGCGGCATAATGGATGGCAGATCTTGTTTGATGCTCCCAATAATAAGCGTGCACGTCCCCAACAATCCATTTCCACTCTCCAGTCAGCAGCACTTTCTCCACTTGCTCAGGCGACAGATCGGCGAGGGCCTCCTGCAGGTCGTCCGCATTCTCTTCATCGATGGCCTTCATGATGCTGTCTCTCAGGGCTTTCGTCGTCTCGTCATCGTCGGCGGCTGGGGCACCCACCAGGGGGACCTGCAGATGTGACACAGACGTCCAACAGACATCTCAGAACGTGTTCTCGTGCCGCCATGCGCCATACACCAACAGACCTGTTCGAGGCGTCTCGGTGCCTTGGTGAGCTCATCGGTGACGTCCGGCAGCTGGGGCTCCATCAGCCCCGGTTCATCGCCCTGCAGCAGAGGGACCTGGTCACTCGAGGCCGACGCTGACATCTGCAGTGCATTGAGGGAGGGAGGGACACAGACAGCAGAGGCCGATGGCCACACACGCAGAGATGCCATAGAGCATTGCAAGGTGACCTTGGGATGGCCCGTCTGTGTGTGGTGGATGGCCTGCTGTGCGGCAGCGTCGCCCTCGTCGACTCTCGGCAGCTGGATGTAGCACACCTCCTCAACACCGCTGGGGCGGCTGGGGCGGCTGGGGCCGTCTCTCCCAGTGCCGCCCTCCTGGCCCTGCAGACGGGGAGTCCGCTGGCCATGGAGGAAGCCCACCATCTCTCCCACAGGGGGTGCTCAGTCTCAGAGACTCCGAGTCTCCGCCCCCAAAGCTCGCCACAGGTCAATCATCATCGGAAAAACTGAGAAATGAGAGTCCCAGTCATCACCACCAACAGCATGAGGGTCTTCATGTTTCTCTTGGCTCTGTCGTCGCTGCTGACTCATTCCATCGCCGCGTCGGTGTACGAGGCGGCCTTCTCTGTCAACCATGACCACTATCTGCTTCGCATCTCCTCCCCTTCGCCCTCCCTCGGCACCTTCTCGCTTCCCACGCCCCCCGCAGACGCCATCGAGAAGCTCTTGCCTGCCTACTCATGCATCGCACCGACGCTTGTGACGCAGCTGACTGCCGGCATGAACGTCACCTGCAGTGATGGCGATGTCAGCGTGCGGTTCGTCAGCCCGCCATTTGAGCACGCCGATGAGATCGCCGCTGTCGGTGATGACGCGGCGCAGCTGATGGGCCATCTCGAGGCGCTGCAGAAGGACGGCGCGACTCCCCAGCGGCTGGAGGCAGTGGTCAAAGCTGAGGCAGATCGGCTTGGCATCGACCACGAGTCTGTCTTGGGCGGCATAGAGAGGGTCTCGGAGTGGCCTCTATCGATATGGGACTATTTTGACCCCCGACACCTCGTTGCGTGGGAGCTCAACTACCTTCGCGAGCACTGGGGACCTCTGCCGCCATTCCCGACGTACAACCAGTCCAATGGAGAGAGTGGCGTCTACGACATTGCCACGGGCAAGCAGGTGCCCTTGCGTGCTGTTCGTGAAGAGGGCCAGCCGCTGGATGAGGAGGTGCGCATCGCCATCGCTAGCGATTGGGGAGCCGGTACCCCAGAAACGCAGGCGATTGCAAATCAGCTGGAGGGTGGGTTTGAGCCCCACTACACGGTGCATCTGGGGGATATCTATCTCATCGGCTCCAAGAAAGAGGTGAATGGATAACGATAAGTGCACGATTTGTTCGAGCAGTGACCAGAGTACATATCCGCCTGTGTGTCAGATTCGCGAGCATGCGCTGGGAGTACGTCCATCGTGGGCTAAAAGAGGCGTCAAGTGGACGCATGGGTCCCTGGCATCATTCGCCCTCAACGCCAATCACGAGATGTACTCACGGGGCTATGGCTACTTCGACGTGCTTCTGCCGACTCTCGGTGAGGAGCAGAAGCCATCACTAAAGGATTTCGTATATCCATGTGTTTCGTTTACTTTGAAGGTCCCCGTGATGCCTCGACCGGTCACTTTGGTGGACAGAAGGCGTCCTACTTTGCGCTCAGGAGCCCCCAGTGGTGGCTGATCTTCCTCGACACGGGATACTACAGCTACAACAAGGACGGCGCGACCCCTGGGCAGGAGAGCCATGACAACCACCAGCCGCAGGCGGTGGTGCAGTGGCTCAAGAACATCATCAGACCTGACGATACACGCGGTGAGGATGAAACGCACTGATTGTGACAGACTCGCACAACCGCATTGATGGACACATCTCTCTCCCTGTGTGTCTGTCTGTCTGTCTGTCTGTCCGTCCGTCAGGTTTGGTCTTTTTCACTCACCACCAGTATCGTTCAGCGTTTGAGGGAGGGTATTACGCGACACCGAGACAGCTCATCGACGAGGGTATCGTGCCCGCCAACAACCGCACGGTGCTGTGGCTGTGGGGGCACGAGCACCGGCTGGCCGCGTACGCACCTGGCACACAGGGCGGAGTGCCGCTGATGGTAAGAAGCAGTTACATGCACACGGCACGAATGAATCGCACGTACCATTGTTCGTTTGCCATTTGGCTTGTGCTGCAGAGCTATGGTAGATGTGTTGGCAACAGTGGCTATCCCGTGTTGCTGGCCTCCATGCCGGCACGTGCGCGTGAGTCCAAGCTGCAGGTCTATGACAACCGCGTATATGCAACAAGAGACGTCAAGACAGGTAAAGCGAGAAAATGAGAAATGCAAGACGGACGACCGCATGCAATGTGCTTTTCCTGCGTGCCTTTCAGTCGGCTACAACGGCTATGCGAGAATGTACCTCAACAAGGACGGCACCATGAAGCTGCAGTACTTCTCTGTCAAGCTGGATCCATCGACAGGCCAGCTCGACCCACAGGAAGGCGATCTGCTGATGGAAGACACCTGGACGGTCGACCAGCGGGGCAATGTGGTGCTCAAGGACATGCAGATCATCAACAGCGACCTCACTGTGGTGTCGCACCACGGGATGGACGCAGATGAGGACCCCGATTTGGTGCTGTATTAAGGCTCTCAGAGCCGCGCTCTCCTTTTTTTGACATCTTGTCTGTGTGGCTGAGTGCGCGTGATTGTGGCGGTGTTTTTGATCAGAGCCAGGAGGGTGTCAGTATGTGTTTTTGGGTAGCGCTCGTGCGTGTGTGTCTGTGCACATCTATGCGTTGCCGTGATGGCACCACTTTTTGACTGCCTGCTGTGTGCGCTCCCCGCGCGTGTTTGTGTGAGCGAGTAGTGTAATGAATGAATGTATGAATGAATGTGTTTCTATTGATTGATAGTTGGGGTAGTGAGGGGACGACAGGTGGATGGGGCGTCGCACGATACATGAGTTCACGACTCTCACTCTACAGCGCCCGATCGAGTTGAGACGCCTGAGACGATCGAAGAAAAGACGCATTTCACGCATCACTTTTGTACGCATCAGTTTTGTACGTTATCGTTGCTTATTGTCGAGATCACCAGCGGCCAGAGGACATACCCCACGTCGAAATCTATCGAATGGCATCCGTCGCCAACGGCCCCCACTCAGACGCAGCGGCAGACGAAGCCGCTGTGGCCGTGAAGGGCGATGTGACCGACAAGGCCGTCACGAACGGCGTCAAGAGGGGGCGGGCTGGTGAGGAGGAGGCCGGGGAGGAAGAGGCAGCCCCTCAGGCTGGTGCCGTTGTCGGTGGGGTTGGCAAAAGGATATCTCCGCGGTTCATTCTCAACGACCCCTCCACTGAGGTCTTCTCTGTCCGCTTTTCGCCCGATGGTAAGCCCAAAATCAAGATGAATCTGTGGACGCATATCTCTTGTTGAATCTCCCGTCTCCCTGCCGACTTCCTGTGTTTTGCTCCTAGATTCGCTGGTGGCAGCGTCCCTGGGGAATGGCCATATCAAGGTGTACTCGACGGCCACTGGGGAGCTGACTTCCCTCCTCACCACCCCCACACCTGGCGAGACAGGGACAGCTCTTCCCGGCGGCCGTCTCGTGCGGCTTAACAGTGGCATTGCCGTCCCTGCTGGGCCCGGCACACCCATCACCAACATCCGCTGGAGGCCGGACACTTCTGCTGCTGCTGTCAGGAACGTAAGACAGAGAGAAAATCGATCAACACATACAACGGCCCAGAGACATACATTGATTGGTTGGCTGAGTGCCTCTAGGTGTTGGTTTCGGTCGATGTGGAGGGCCGCATCATCCACTGGCACGCCACCAAAGGCGCCGACAAGAAGCTGCATGAGTTGCGGGAGGAGGACAACCAGCTCTACTGCATCGACTTCAGCACCGACGGCCTGATGTTCGCCACGGGGGGCAGGCAGCGATACATCACTGTCTACGACGAGACCACCAAAGACGTCAGTGTCATGCTCAGAGGTGACAGGCAGTGACATCCGTCGGTCGATGCGCATCTACTTGTCCCTCTGGGCAGGCACCGAGTCCAGCATGCACCCGGGCCATTCCAACCGTGTGTTTTCCATCCGCTTTCACCCCACCGAGCCCATTGTCGTGAGCGGGGGATGGGACCACACTGTGCAGCTGTGGGACATGCGGACCGGACACGCTGAACACTCACTCTACGGCCCCTTTGTGTGTGGAGACGCCGTCGACCTATCAGGTAGACACCAACCGGATGCATGTAACCAAATGGCCATGCCATTTCTGCACAGCTGACGGGACGACCATCCTGACGGGCTCATGGCGGAGTGAGAAGCAGCTGCAGCTGTGGGATCTGCGCACCCGGAAGCTGCTGGAAGACATCGAGTGGCACTCGCCCGCATCCCTCACCGACCAGTGCCTCATCTACGCGGCCGAGTTCTCGAAGGACACTGGCTCGTCGCTCATCGCTGCGGGCGGCAGCGGGGCCAACGAAGCCAAGATTTTCGACAGAGAAAGCGGCAACGTACGTCGGGCCGCTCATCCCTATGCAAACAGAGAGCAGAGAGAGACACATGGCTTTGTTCTTTCATGTGTGTGCAGGCGTGCATTGGGACGATCACGGGCCTGTCCAAGGGATGTTACAGCGTGGATTTCTCGTGTGGCCCGTCAGTGAAAGGTGCGGCGGGCATGGTTGCTGTGGCGGGGGGAGACGGGTCACTCAGGCTCATCAACATACACAAAACATGATCAACATGGCACATGAACGGATGGATAAGAGGCATAGATGGCCCACTGGACGGGTGGATCGATAATCGGTATTTTTCCGTTGCAACAGAACTCTCACACGCCTCGACACGGTTTAGCAAGAACCAATCGCAGACTAGCGTTAAAGATTCATTGGCACCTTTAACTTATGAAAGTCAATGTTCTCATAGGGAGAGCTGTCTCACCATTCCATCTTCTCACAGATGCACCACTGTCTTGGTTGGCTGAGCCAGCTGCATGCCGTGGCATCTCTCTCCCTCAAGAAGAGAAACAGCACTAGCTACGTGCAACAACATTTCGGCTCTGACGGACTCATGATCAGCTCGGCAACAAACGCTGCTGCTGTCGGACGCTCATGAACACATGCATTGCACGCATTCCCGCGTACGCCACGCTGATGGAAAACTGTCTGCCTCCCCGTGGCTGGCTCACGTCACTCGTTGCCCTAGAAAACTCCCACACAAGTGCGGCAAAATCTGTCCATCGTCAGAAACAGGACACGCACCGCGCCTCTCGCTGGCTCCACCGGGAAGCCTCAGAATGCCATCTTTGTGTAGAGGGCCACATCGGTCTTCTTCGAGAGCACCTCGATGTAGGCCTTCACGTTTGGCGGAAACTCCAGCCCCTTGACAATTGACAGGTTCCGCAGGCGCGGGAACATGTCAATGTCGTCATACGAGATGCCGCCCTCCGAGATATACCTGCAGCCACAGACACCCACACCCACATCCATTCACGTCGATGTATTGCGGATTGGTGTGCGCATTCAGTACCCTTCCTGTGGGTTGGCGATCATCCCATCGAGCTTCTTGAGGCCCTCAGACAGCGCGGCGATCCACTCAGCCGACCGCTCGTAGTTCTCCTCATACGACGAGGGGTTCTCCAGTGGGTGGCGGGCTATGTAGGTCCGACGCGCAGAGTCAAACGCAAACTCGGGCAGATTCGCGCTCCACGCGAATCGCGGTCGTGAGAGCCGCCTTGACGGCTCTGCGATGCTGTCCAGCCTGCCAGAAAAAAATGATGGACAAGTGTGCCAAAGGGTGGCTGGCTGAGGGCTTCTCACCATTCCTTGAGGTCACTTCGGCCGCTGAATGGTTTCAGCAATGGCAATCCAGCACCGATCTCTTCGCTCTCGTCGATGTACTTGACGATGTCGAGGCTCTCGGGCATGATGAGCCCCTCGCCCGGCCGCCGGCCCCTCACCTCCAGAATGGGAGCCATCTTTTTGCCTATCAGGTGGGTGGGAGTCTCGATGTCGTCATTGGCCATGTAGACGAGATCGTGTTTGATGTTCTTGAGGCCGAAGATCATCCGCGCTCGGACACAGAAGGGGCAGTGGTCGTAGACGTACAGCCGTGGGAGGTGGAGGTACTTCTCGCCGCCCTTGACTCGAGGGTCGATGCGGCTGTCCTCGACAACCGGTGCAGGAATGGGCTTGGAAACCGTCCACTCGCCATCGGCAGCCACGCCGCCACGCTGCTGTGTTGCTGTTGCAGTCTGCTGCATCGCCAGAGGATGATACCGGCGATGCGGTCCGTGCCCCTGCATGAAAGAAAAGCAGTTGAAGGCGCATCAAAGGTGCGTACAAATGAGTGCAGCGCGTCTGTATGTGCCTCGTGTCTTTGTGCGCACCTGTCTTCTCGTTCGGTGCCGCACAAGCGCTGACGAGTGGGTGGCCTTGAAGCCTTCTGATGCGACGAGAGCCTCAGCGAGCAGCAGCAAGACTATGAGGATGCCAGACGCCGCACCTGCTGTCCTCAAATAAGCCATTTGAGGCCTTGCTTCAAGTCTCCCCACAGCTAAGCTCGCAGATCTGGGAGCTTGTGAGAGGAGGCGATGGCCTGCGCAGCAGAGCTTTGGGCCGGCGCGAACATGTTGTCATGTCTTCTGCCCGCCGTATTCATCCATTCATCTTGGTCGAGCAAGATGCCATCCTTCTTGCCGCACCGGTCGGTCACAGCCACTGGCAGACACCGCAAAGTGCCACCAATCAGGCGACCAAGACGGCGGAGGACCCTGCGTGCAGCCGACTCATCGACTCCGGCGGACAATGAGTCATTGCCAGTGCGGCAGATCCCCAGGGTGAGGAGCAGCCGTCCGCCTCCCTTGGTGTCAGCACCCTCCTGGACCACACGAGAAAGGGCATCACGAATCGCCAAAGACCTTCTCAAAGGTACGTAAGACATTCATCATCATCATCATGCCACCTCCCTTGTATTTGTTCGTCCGTGCTTTGTGTTGTTCTAGCTGGTGGTCGATGGCTGCGGCCTGACGAGCAGGAGAGCCTTTATCGCGCTGTGCTGGTTGACGTGACGGTGAGCGCCTGGCACCAGATGCACCGCAGCTACCGCCTGGAGGACGTCTTTGCCGAGTGGCGGGTAAGAGGTAAGGCGGCATCGTGGTTGCTTGTCCCCTTATCTGGCCATGCCGACGACGGCTGCCTGTCCGTTTGTGTGCGCAGGAGCGTCAGCTTGACTTTGCCGATCGTGACGCGCTGATATGTGCCGAGAGGGATGGTGAGTCTGAGGCCTTCTCTGACCTCGCCCAGCAAGCTTCACGGTGGAACCCTGCTTACGCGATATTTCACAGGTGGACAGATGGTCGGCAAAAATGGGCCAAAGGGGCACCTGTAGATGTTCCGTTCGTTTGTGTTTTCTTAGAGCGCTGCAGCACCCCGAATTGGGCGACTACGAGGCTTTTCGTCGGTGGTTCATCCGCGTCTTTTCGTTCGCCATCCCCACCCCCAGCAGCGTGGCAGAGCTGCTCGACGCCTTCCCGCCAGACCAGTACAAATTCGCTGACATCGGTCAGGGGAGATCACACACAAAAGTCACCATGTGTTGCCCAATCCATTCATTGATTGTTGTGTGCAGGTGGCGGGAGCGGCTATTGGAAGAGGCTGCTGAGGGCTTCTGGGTGCGACGTTCTGGCCTGTGACAGTCAGGTACGCGACACTGACCTGTGTTTCGGCCGCTGGGACGAGGTGGTCGAGGCGAACGGCGACGACTTCGTGAGGGACAACGAAGGGCTGGCGGACCGTGTGCTCCTCTACTGCTGGTCCACCAACCTCCCTGGCATTGACCACTACCAGGGAGACAGCGTGGTTGTAATCGGTGAAGACGAGGGAGGTCAGCTGAACAGAAACAAGCACAAGTAGCAGCTCTCATCTATGACGGTGTTGTTGGTCTCTTCGCCTGCCTGCCTGTCTGCAGGCTGCACGGGCAATTTGCTGCATGCTGGCGCGAGTGAGTGGCTGCTGCAGAAGACCATCCCCCTGCACCAGTGGCCCGGCAATCACGACGCTATCTGGATCTTCCAGCGGGGCCGGGCCGGGTTCCCTTACGAGATAAGGCAGGAGGCCATCATTGAGGAGAAGATGACCACGCTGAGCGAGAGCGACCCGACAGCATTTTACCTGAGGAGTGCCGTCAAGTACAACGGCGCACAGGGGGTGGAGATTGAGGAGGATAGTGGAGCGGACGAAGAGGTAGAGACCGAGACAGATGATAGTGTGTCGTCGACATAGACAGCTTCGACAGGTGACGAGTTAATGTCTGCGTGTCTCCGCGATGTGTGTCGGAGTCGATTGACTTGTTGTCACATCCATACATGGGATGTCTGTCGGTGAATGAATGACATCAATTGTCGTGGTCTGTCATCATCGCGCACACGCAAAAGTCATACATGTCGACACACAACACAAATGCACACGCTCACACCCCCACACACCCTACACAGCCCCCTCCGGTGATAGCACACGTCTGCTCACATGCAGGAATGTGAGCGGCTGGGTGAGTAAACACGCGAAAACATCCCTTATCCTGCCTGCTTGCCTGTCTGCCTCCCCTCGCCCCGCCCTCTCTACTGCCCCACCGCGCCATCCAGAGAGATATACCATTCCAATGGCAGACAGACAGGTAGGAAGCACAAGCAATCGATCAAAGAGCACCAGCCATTCCCCCCAGCCTCCCCCGCCCTCATCTTTGTGTGTGCCTCTCTCGTGTAAGGCGCAGCGGTCTCCATGTGACGCGCTTGATGCCTCGTCACACCCAGCTCCACCACACGTCAATCAAACACAGCCACGTCCAACCACCCCACACCCCTCACGTCACAACACACCACACACACAGCCCAGCACTACTGCTCCGTTGCATCATCACCATTCCCGCTGTCCGCTGCTGTGGGCTGGTGTGGGTTATTGGGTCGCTGCTGGTGCTGCTGGTGCTGGTGTGGGCTGCTGCAACGCGGCCCCCAGCTGCTGCCATGTGAACTGGCAGTCGGCATCGCCCAGATGGGCGTTGAAGCCCTTGACCACCGCCCCATCCGCCAGCCCCCACTTGGCCGCCTCGTCCAGCCTGGCCCGATGCACCACCTCACGCAGGCCCACGTGACCATGCGTGTGCACCACCTCGGGCGGACGGCTGTCGACACCCTCCAGCACGAAGCACTGCAGCTGCGGCACACGCACCACCTGGCCGCCCACATCGGCCGTCCCGCCCACCACCTCCCTGTTGCTGCTGGCCTGGTACACTGCCGACTTGACGAAGCGCACCGCTGCCGCACACACACGGCGGGCCAATTCCGTCTGCCGCACAGACTCGCCGATGGCCTCTGTGGTGGCCGATGCCGCTGCGTCCGCGTCAAAGAGGTATGACGCGATGCGCCAGCCGAAGATGGGGGCCTCTTGCGGGCCGACGGCCAGCCGGGGGGTCAGGAGGGCCGCGAGTGAGCGGTGGGGGCTGAGGGCGGCGTTGACGGCCGCCATGACGCAGAGACCCAGCTCGTTGAGCACCGTGGTGTACTCGGTCAGCACCAGCTGGCGGCGACGGCGGCGCCCCTCTGTGTCTGTGGGGATGCTGCTGATGTCGGCCCCGGCCCGCAGCAGGCTGCGGATGATCCGCTTGTAGTTGTCCATCTCGGCGCGAATCTTATTCCTGTTGGTCTTGGTTGTGTCCGGGTCCTGAAGCAGTTGAGTGCGGAGATCGACCACTACAGCAGCCCGGGCCAGGGGCGTGCTGCTGTAGTGGTCCCGTCTGTTGATGTCGGCAGCTGGCAGCTTGCGGCCGAGGTAGTCGGCCACGTAGGGAGAGCCATTCAGTGCCGCGCTCTGCAGCGGCGTCCATCCACCGCCGTCGGCTGCCGTCATGTCGGCCCCGTTGGCCGTGACGAGGTCCAGGTAGCTGTCGATGAACGACTGGGGGTAGTGGCCGCGTGCCTTCATGGCTGCCATGTGCACCAGGTTGACGCCGTGGTCTCGTTGGGTGGCGAGGGTGCGGTCTCGTCGGACGAGTCGCCGATACATCGACATGAGCACCTGCAGATACTCGGTGGGAGGCAAGAGAGAACAAAGAGGCAAGAGAGAACAAACAACGTTATGTGCATCCATCGCATGGACCACTGTTGGTGTTGATGAGTGCCTCACCGGTTCGTACTCATTCGCCGCCTGCGGACCCTCCTCACCGTCGGCCGTCTCGTGAGCCATTCCTGAACACCGCCACATAAATCGACCAAGCAGGTCTGAGTGTGCTTCTTGTGTGTGTGTGGAACGGTCTGTGTGGCATGGCTTGTAACTCACCCCTATCGACGCCGTCGAGATCTAGTTGCTCCGCCTGCCCACTGCCACTATGCTCCTCCTCAGCTACATCGTCTGCACACACCATCGAAGGCACGCACACACATACACAATTGCGAGGATGGTGTGTGTGTTTGATGTGTCAGATTCATTTGTGTGTGGCATACCCGCGTTGCCACCGTCACTGTCCGCCATGGCAGCGGAGGCCATCTGGGTATCGTCACTCAAACACCAACAGCTGCACCGACCCCACACAGAGAGGCAACAAGAGATGGGCAGACACCTGCTGCATGTGTCGTGTGTGTGCTCGCCCACCTAACTATGAGTCAAGTGGTAGAAAGGCCAATCAGTCCGCCCCGTCAATAAGGCCGACCTGCACAACACCACACCGGCATCCAAAGGCGCAAGCCACATTGTGACTCGTGCTGAGCCAATCGCATTGCACTCACCGCCGGATGAGAGCTGCTAAGCCGCGCGATTATCAATTCGCTCGTCAGGCAGGCCAGCAGATCTGTCTCCACTGCCGCCAGACGAGAAACGTCTTAAGAATGATGGATGGAGTGGATGGAGGGACTCGTCCACTTCTCTGTTTGTCACAGCGGCTCACGGAGGCCCTCTTAGCAGCGAAGCCCCATCGTAAAAAAGCCGTCCGCCTGTTCGTGTTAGAGCAGACGATGAAAAACCAATCTGCGCTCTCGGGGGTGAAATAAGAGGAAGTGACGGGTAGAAATGTTCTCATCGATGGCCATGGACGACGTACTTATGGGTGTAGACAAATATGTACGTACGCACATAGCAGGCTGAGGAAGGCCTCACTGAACACATGGCACGACTCGGCATAGCTGCATACACTACATGTGATGCTCCCCTGACGGCGTGGCGATGCTCGTGGCTGCATCTCTGACACGCGCAGCTGCCTGCCTGCCTGCTTACCGATCGACTGGCCAGCATCATCCTTCTCTGCAGGAACGTCCCCTCGACGTAGACAAATACGTAGAGGGCATACACACATGGCCACTCAAGCTACAGAAAAACATGCCTATGATCTCTTCTCTGTAGACGGTACTCCTGTCCCACCGACCGGTCAGCAGTCAGGAGAGCATCCAGGTTATCGCGGATCTGCTCAAGTTGGAGGGGTGGTCAGTCAGTGAGTCACCCCTCCAGATTGAGCAGCTGCGTGACGACCTGGATGCTCTCCTCCTCCGCGTTGACGTCCCCCACATAAATCACTTTGCCCTTGCCCACCCTGGCGCACGCCACGCCCACCGGGCCCGGCTGTGCCGACTCATCAGTCGACACATACATCCGATGCGCCTCAGGGACGTCCCTGCACACAGTAGAGGGCACGCCATGACACACACCGAGTTGCAGCCGCTTGACAGTGTGTGTGTGAATGTGTGTGTGTGTGCGTACTTGAGTGAGCAGCATTTGTTGTTGATGGCTTGGAGGGAGCATGACTGCGGTGCGTGGCTGGTCTTGTGGAAGGTGGTGCGCCCGTACGCAGTGAATTTCCACGACAAGTCGCACCTGCACTCACGCACATACGGCAACACACACATGCGTCCGCAAACTGCGTGCAGGTGATGGACTGGTGTGTCTTATGTGTGTCTGACTTGCGCAGGAAGTCGTCAACGAACGGGACAGGTGCGCTCTGCGGCACCAGGACCGCCGTGGTGCCCTCGTCGGCCACTATCGTGTGCAGACACTTGACCACTCCATCCACCTGACGGCGGACCTACATGCACAGGCAGACAGACAGGCAGACCGAGACAGTCAGACGTGCGCATGGCACATCACGTGTACCGCCCACATTGGGATCCTCCAGATCAAGGCCGCAGAAAGGGTCGAACACCATCGCCAGAACAACAGCAGACGGCTTCCTCCCTGCACACACACCGCACCACATGCGCCTCTCTGTCTGTCTGTCTGCCTGTCTGCCTGTCTGTCTGTCTGTTCGGACCGCGGTGTGCGTGCGTACCCTGCTCTCCTCCTTCACGATGGTCCAGCCCGGGGCGACTTTCTCAGCACTCTTCGAGAAGAAGAAGCTGGGCGAGGAGTCGACAACGAGCACATCAGGAGTGCTCGAGGGAGTCGCGGTCTACGCCCTTCATGGAGGAGAGCGATTTCACGGAATGTAGAGGCTGCGCGCTCGAGGGTGAAATAATAGGAAGTGACGGGTAGAAATGTTACATTCACAACTGATGTTCTTGCTGTGCGCTGCATGCGGTATCCGGATGCTTTCCTGACATACTCACACACTCATTTGCAGAAATGTTGGATCTCTGCAACACTCTGCAAATGCCTCAAGAGATCCAACATTTCTGCAAATGAGGCAGCCAGTATGCCCGCACAAGCACCCCAGACACGCACACGTCAGTGAAGGAAACACCATCTCTGCCTGGCTGGCTCCGTCAAGTAGGTCATGGGTGCAAACGGCACCCACGCATTCACTGCCGTAGTCCCTCTCTGACCAGCCAAGGGCCCCCCACCAAATGAGCTACGCACCTACCAGTTCAGCTACACACACAGCTGTCGAGCTACCGACCAGTACAGCCACCTAATCACAACACCAGAAATACGAACTTCGGGTAATGTGTGTGTGTATGGCTATGCGAAGCGCTGCACGCACACAATGGAGAGAGTCAGCACATTGCAATGAAAGCACTACCAAAAATAGGTCACACACGCAATCCAGTCCAACCCGCACACACGGCATCCAACACATCGATGTCGCCATACACACACGCACACGCACACGCACACGCATTTGTAGAGAGTGTCCTTCTAGCGAATCCATTCCCAACCAACCAGCCAGCCCGCCTGATTATCCACCGACACCCTCTTGATCTCGTTCCCCGCCCCTATCACACATCGACACCTGAGATTGCGCTGAGCCCAGCTGGCCAGAGAGTGAGTTGACCTCGGCGAGTGACGCCTGTCTGCCTGTCTGCCGACTGAAAACACACACCGGTCCACTTGGGACGGCGCGGGTGCCATGACAACCTGATGCATAGATAGAGCATGATTCACTCACAGTGTAGCCATCGGGTGCAGTGTGTGTGTGTGCGTACCCTTCGCTCAACAAAGGGATGGGATGGACGCCATCACTCACCAACCAACCACCAAACGAGAAAACACAAAAGACACAACAAGCGACCGACAGCCATCCACACGCGACCACGACAACAAGAAATGAGTTTCCTCCCTCTCCCCTCCCCCATCCATGAGCCCCCTGAGCGCAAAACAAGACGGCGGTTTGGCAGAAAAACAACGGCGAGAAAAGGCGACGAGAACGGCGCATGACGACAGTGCCCGCCGGCCGACCGGCGCACCCCGCGTCAGTTGTTGCTCACATGAGTGGAGGTCGGGATATCAGGTCCCGCCCCCACTCTGAGACAGCCACACACTGCCCACTGGGAGGCCAGACGACCGGCCGACACAAAGGAAACCAACACAAAGGAAGCCGCGACCGACCGACAGCCATCCAGACCGACGCAGCCAAACCAACTTGACAGGCACACAACACACCAGCCCACCACACACACAGACACGCAGATGACAGGTGAACGGACAGTGTGACTGAAACGGCGCAAAAGGAGACGCATGGCGGTGTTGGCTCGGCTGGGCGGCACATCCCCAAGTTCACGCACTGACGACACACAAGGGGGTCGGGATATCAGGTCCCGCCCCAAGCAGTGACCGCCACACACGCGCCCCTGGAGAGGCCGGCCAGACGAAACGAACGAAAAGAAAACAGTGGTCGACAGCCATCCAGACTCACGCAGCCACACCAACGCAGACACACCGATCGTCGAGAGGTAAAACAACAAATCGACTAACACACTCGACTCCAAAACAGCGCGAGATCTACAGCCACCCCCCACACAAAGAAAAACGACAGAATATCCTCCCATGTGTTCCCTCTCTCCCATTCCCTCTCTCCCATAAATGAACCCCACGTGGTGAGTTCCCCGGCGACACCGACACCGGCTGGCCGGCACATCCCCAGTTCACGCGGTGACGGCAGATGCGTGGAGGTCGGGATATCAGGTCCCGCTCCACGCACTGCCGAACACCAACGCGCCCACGGAGAGGCCCGACAGCCAACCGACGGACAGGAACAAAGACGTGACTGGAAAAGAAAGAAACAAACGACCCCAACACGACAGCGACTCGACAACAAACGCAACCAAGGAGAAGAAGACGACGGCGATTCGACGACGAAAATAAAAGGGAACCCTGCGAGTGAGCGGCAAGAGACCAAAGGGATGAGCAGGTCTCCCCCTTAAGCTGTGCTGTGCTGTGCCGCAGACCTACCGCTGGTGAGTGAGTGAGTGGCTTTGCGTCGGCCATCGACTGGCCTGTACTGTACTGGTGGTGTCTGGCAGGTGCTCGATGGACGCCTTAAGCGCACCGTCCTGCTCGTGGTGGTCCTTAAGAGCGCGACACAGTCATAGGGCGCCCATGCGGCTGAGGGCTGCTATGCCGGTGTCCATCGGCCGCTATGCCGGTGTCCATCTTGCCTATGTCGCCGCCGGCTGTGAGGAAGGCGTGGAGGTCGACAAGCGTCGAGGGGTGGGCCACGCCAATGGCATCACACAGCACAGTGCGGTCGTCGCTGAGAGTCGCCAGCACGCCACTCGGAGGAGGCAAACTCTGACCCTCACCCTGCAGACAGAGAGGATACATGCTGTGTGGTGGCCACGTGCTTGCAAGCAGATTTGTTTGCTTACGTGTTGGAAGAAGGGCACGATGGCCAGAAGGTCGGCTCGCTGTGAGGCCTTACGGCAACGATGTACTCAGTCCACTCGTCCTTGCTGGCAAACGTCCTTCCCCATCTCAGCTTCCGCCGACCCGTCAGCCACACCGTCAGTGAGGGCTAGTTGAGCAGACAAAGCGACTCTGCATGGCAAACAAGCAGACCATCACACGCCTCACAGGTGCTTGTGCCTGCCTCGCCCAGCGACCCACTCACCCGCTCGCTGACGCAGCAGGATCTGGGCGCCGATTCTCGACAATCGGCTTGTTAATCGGAGGCTTCAGCGGTAGAGCTGCCAGTACTGTCTGCCGGAGGGCGACTCAACCATACTCGACCCGCCAGGTGGTACATGTTAGCAGGGACCAGCGGCGGTCTGCCGCCGAGCTGGGGTTTGCCGACGTCCGCCGGGCACAACGGAAGCACAAACACCGACTTTAAGCCGGGTGGCTCCTCCCTGGCGCCTCGCGAACCCCCGTCACCCGCCGCAGAGGAGCGCCGACCCGACCATCCTCACGACTACAGCCAGGTCGAACGAATGGCTCATTCTGGCTCGGTCGAGCCACCCCCTGCTCGCCCCTGCCGCCGTCTGCTGCTGCTGCTGCTGTTCCCTCTGTCGCATGAAGCTCAGGAACGCCTGATGGTCCTTGGATGGGAGTGATGGTGATACGAGGGAGAGGGAGGTGGTGGGCAGGGGCATCTCAGTCGCCAGCGGTTGGTTCGGTTGGTTGTCAGTTGCGCGTTCGCCTGAGTCAAATTCCTCCATGATGTCCGCGTACGTGGCCGGGTCGGGCAGGCGGGAATGCCCACGGCATCGGCCAGCCGGTCGCGATCCGACGCCCCCATGGCAAAGGCACCACGCAAACCTGACAGACAGTGACATCATTGCACACAAACAGATGGGGATAGAGTGAAATGGCCCACCATAACGCATGTGCATGTGCATGTGGTTGTGGTGCGGTTTGGTGGTGTTTGTTCACCTAGCTTAGCGACGCGTCTCGGCGGTCCCCTCTTCTGCTGTGCGCAGCGCGCCGCCTCCTCCTTGACGGATGCGAAGAAGGCAGCCTTCTTGTTGCTCATGTAGATGCCCGGGTAGAGGGAGTCGTTGTCCGCTGGTGTGAGGGCCCTGACTCGGTCAGTGACCCGCCGCCGCAAGTCCTTCATGAGGTCAAGGTTGGCACGGTGCAGTCGCATCTGAAGCGGCTGCTCCTCATCCTCACACTCACTCCCGTCCGACTGCTCGCCGTGCTGGTGGGGATGGTGGGGGGCATCGCCGGGCTCCGCGTTGACCGTCCGCTTCATCCGTCCCTGACTTTCGGTGGTGTGGCTCGCCACGCCAGCCTCGTCCATGGCATCCTCGACATGGTCATCCGCCCCGCCCCCCACCCCCTCCCACTTGGCCCAGTCCACCTGCTGCAGAATGGCGTCCACTTGTCCTCTGGGCAGTGGGTGCAGCGACCACTCAGCGGCCTTGGCGTTGCGCTTGTCCACCGCGCACTCGACGGCCGCCCTGAGGGAGGGGAAATCCGCACACACCACCTCCTCTCTCGGCTGGCCCTCCTGCTGGCGGAACCCCACCATGATCGTCTCTATGGCCGTCGGCGGTGCAGCGTGGGTGGTGCTGGGCACGGCAGAGAGGCCGAGGGGTGCCTCGGGCGGCAGGAGTGACCTGAGCTGCTCGATGAACGACACCTTCATGCGGCGGCTGTGGGTGTGTGGGACGGGGGCGGGGGGCTCATTGTTCTGCCGTCTCTTGCGTCGTTTGGGTGCGGTGTCGAGGGTCTCGTAATTGCTCCAGTCCTCTGTGTCGAGGACGTGGTCGGCCTGGTCGATGGGGATGGCCGCGAGGCCCAGTCTGGCTGCGCTGTTGCGGACCTTGATTGCCTCGCGATAGGCCTCCTTCATGGGCCACTGGGAGGTGTGGAAGTCCTTGATGTTGACGTACTCGCCCTGGATCTTGTTGAAGCACACGCGGACCTTGGCCCACGGGTCCCTCCTGGTCGGCCGCCACGGGCAGACGCCCAGAGGCTGACGGTCGGGGATCAGCGCACGCAGACGCAGAGTGAGCGGGAAAGCGCTGGTCGGGTCGGGCTCGCCATTGGCTGCGCTCTGGTTGGAGCTGCTGGCGTGCCGTGACTCGGACAGGCCGTCAGGGACTGTCGGTGACGGGTGCGGGGGGGCCTTGGCGTCCATGTCCCTGGCCTCGGCCTTGCTCCCGCCCATGGCAGAGGGGATGATTGGCTTTTCCTTCAGCTCGTGCGTCGCTTTATCCCCCCTCTCGACAGTGGGGAGGGGGCCCAGTGCACCGTTTTGTGGTGTGGGCGGCGGAGGAGGGGCTGATGGTCTGGGCGGTAGGGCGCCTGATTTGTCCGCCTGACGGGGCATCGTCGGCCGTTGGTGAAACGAATCTGCAGCAAACAAGAGGAAAAGGCAAATAGACAGGATCCATGCAATGCATCCATGTGCTCTTGGTGTGTGGTATCTCGCGTACCCGCTGATCTCACTGCCGACCGACCGCCGTGCCACCGGCGATCGCTCGACACACCAACACCCCACACCACACACACATCCACCCCACTTCACGCACTACGAAGGCGAAAAAAGACGACCAGCAGTCAGACAGACAGACGTACAGAAAGACGTACAGAAAGACATTCAGCAGGGCTGGCCACACACACGGGTCGCCACAGGCACCATGAGACCACCACAACCGCGCGTGAGCTCTCGTGTGTGTAGGTGTGTCGGTTGGGGTACAGAGTGAGCACATCGGCTGAAATCTCTCTCAGATGGGTGGCGTGTGTGTGCGGTCAATGTGTCCATCGCTCTCGACTGACTCGAACAAGAACCCCCCCCACACTCACACATACACATACATCACACAGGCGCCACTCGGCACGCAATCTCATAAGACGGATGAAGAGGCAGCCACCCGCACTCTTCACATGGCAGTCATGCCCCGCAGCCTCCCCCCCTCTCTGCCTGTCTGTGTGTGTGTGTGTGTGTGTGATGGGTCAACATGGGCAAGTTATGCCCAGCAGCGTCCTCCTGGCTACAGGGATGGACTTCGACCAAGTCGTCACAGAGAGAGGGGCAGGCAATCCGTTGGTTACAACGGCCATATCTATTGGCAGTGCCTGCCAGACACACCCACCCACCCACGCAGACACATACCCACCCAGACGCTACGAGACCGTACCATCAGTCAGACTAGGGGGGGCGGCTTGGCGGGGGACGTTCGCGGTTAGACACGCGCTCGTCAGCCCCAGCCAGCCAGCCCACTAATGGCGCGCACCCATACAACGGTCGACGAGCCACTGGCAGAGCCAGCAGCCCGACCTCACGCCCTTCTTGTCCTCCCTCGTCCTGCCCTTCTTGGCCTCGCCCTTCTTGACCGCCGGGCTCTTCGTGGTGGGCGTTGGTTTGGTGGATGACGGCTGTGAGGGGGCCTTCTCGTCCTCTCTCGCTGCGCCTCGCCTGCTGCTGCTGCTGCTGCTGCTGGGAGCGGTGGAGGCAGCAGTGGGCGTGTCGGTGTCCTCCTTCTTGGCGCCCCTGCTGGTGTTGGCGATGTGCTTGGTGTGCCGTGCCTTGTCGGCCGTCAGTTTCTCTTCAATGTACGCCGCCACGGCAGGCCCCATCTTCTTGGCCACCGCCGCCTCCGCCGCCCTCTGCTTGGCCCACCTCTCCCTCAGCTTGGCCAGATTCGCGTCGTGAGCCTTGTTTGCCGCCGCAACGCCCCGCTGGATCTCCTCAATCTGCACGAGTGAGGGAGCAGATAGATGGGCAGAGGTAAGGCAGTAAAGTCCCTGTTTGTATTCGTTGGCAGGTTGGTCACCCACCCGGACGTAGATCTTGGCCAACTCAGCAGGGGTGAACAGGTGCTCGTTGCCCTGAGAGACAGACAAACAGACAGACAGACAGACACACAACAAACACGCAGAGAGTGTGTCGCACTCACAGCAGAGCAGAGAGAGGACATATCATGAAATATGCTGTGAGTGCGCAGCTTACCCCAAGTTGCACTTCCTCATACGGAGGAGGAAACCCCTCACTGCTATGGAGGCGGCAGATGTCGTAGGCCTCCTGCAGCCGCTGAAACGCCTCGACAGAGCCGCCCTTGTCTGGGTGGCACCTCTACACACACACGCACACAGCACAGCATGCCAGCATGCCGCATGCATGCATCAAATGAGCCCTCCCCTTTGGTCAATGCGCTGGCGTACCAACGAGAGCTCCTTGTAACGCGCTCTTATGTCATCAGAAGTGGCAGAGCTACAGAGGCCGAGGGTCCTAAGTGCGTCATCAATGCACGACAAACTCTGCATCATGCTGGCGGTGCGCTTCTGCCTGTTTCTTCCGGCGGTGGTGGTTAAGGGTAAGATTGTTCCGTCTATTGCTTTGAGGGCCGCAGGGCGCTGCGCCAATTGCGCTGCGCTGCGCAGCTGCGCGTGATTCCGCCCCGCAGCAATGTTTCAACAGAATGCGATAGTGTCGTCTTCGGGGTCGGATGTCTTGACGATCAGCGACTCTGACGGGACGGATCATGAGTTTCGCATCACAGAGACCATACGGGTGAGTGCACAGACAAACATCTGCAGGCAGGCAGGCAGGCAGGCAGGCAGGCGAGCAAGCAAACATGTCTCGGATCTCGCGTGTGGTTGTGATGTATATAGAATAGAGGAGGTATCCGACACCAGGCTATCTGGACCAGGACCAAGAAACTCGTGACCAAGACCAAGGAACTCGTGACCAAGACCATTGGCAAGGAACTCGTGACACTAAGCGAATGGGCCACGGCGGACAAAGATGCGGCCTTGGTGAAGGAGGGAGGGAGGGAGGGAGGGAGGCAAGTGCTGCTGTACAGCCATGCAACCAAATGTTTGGTGTTCTTCTGCAGCGGTTGCTCTCGCGCTTGAGCATGTTGGAGAACGGTACCAGGAATGTAGTCAACATCAGACACATATTCATGAAGCATGGCGTACCCACCCACGCCGTCATGGAACGGACGACCCCATGGTACGGCTGGCTTCGCTGCGTGCGTGTGCGGTGCCCTTTCTCACGTCAGGGACGTTGTGTGGGTGCGTGTGTGGGTGCGTCTTTGGACAGGTTGAGTCTTCCATCGAAGAAATTCATTTCAGATGTGCGAGTGGTCGCCAACATCGTCGGGCCAGTTGTGGACGTCGCTGTCGAAATGGATACCCTGTGAGCAGGCAGAATGGGCATCCATTCTACCCATCTGGCATGCGGATTCGGTTGTTTCGCAGGGGAGTGGTGCATCCTGAGATCTGTGTGGAGAACCTTTCGCTGGCCAAGGTTGGCTCGCGCGCAGTCGCGAAGCTCGCTGGACTCGAGAATGTCCAGGAGAGCCCGATGTAAGACGAGACAACAGACACACGCCGACAGACACTACAGCAGCCTGTCGGTGGGTCTGTGGCTGCCTGCAGCAAGGCGACCAGTTGCACGTGCCTCTACGCATCACCCGAAGAGCTCTCTGGCAGGCTGGTCACTCCGGCCATTCACATATGGCGAATGGGTAAGCAAATCAGACAGCACATGCCATTGGCATCCGTCCATCAAGCATGACCTTCTGTCCGTTCGTGTGGTCAGGGCATCTCACGGTCGAGCTCTTCAAGTCCAAGCCTCTGTTCGACGGCATGAGTCTCGCGGTGGGTGACACACTGACCCACACATACATTCCATCACGCCACTCGAGCTGCATGGATGTCATTCGCGTCCTTTCAGGATGTCATGGATCTGCTGCAAGAGCCGGAGATGTTGGCCGACTACATCCGAGAAGCCATGCAGGAGCTGTGTAGCGACAAGTCCGACCTGGGCGATGGTGGCGTCGTGGCGTCTGTCGTCAGCTGGATGCAGGTCCAACCTCAGGATCGCCCGAAGGCGGCATCGGTAAGTAAGACGAAGGAGGGCGGGCACACACACCCACTCGTCACCCGTTCTGTCTGTCTGTCTGTCTGTATGTCTGTATGTCTGTATGTATGTCGTAGGTGAAGGAGAGCTGTCCGTGGCTGAAGAAGCACTACTTCGATATCAGTCCGACGGCATCAGCCTCGACCGCCCTCGACACACTCATGTTCGGCGCCCACGAAGGAGCCCCCCCCCGCCAGCTCGACGTTGCCCAAGCAGATGCCCCCTGGCGCTGCCCGCGTCGACGACGTCGCACGCCGCCCCCCACCCACGCCTGCCGATGACCCTTCACCCGCCAGCCACCTAGTGCCGTCCCCATGCCCCAAGACCGTCGCCACCCAAGACGGGTCATCCCCAGCCCCAAAGCACCCCTCTCGCACGCCCCTCCATGGCCTTGCGGGCTCCTCTGCGAGCCGCCCTCTGCTGCCCAAGGTGGCGCCGCGGCCACAGAAGGGCACTGAGAGTGTCCGGAAGGAGCGGGGGGAGATATGGGATTTCTCGAGGGAGAAGGCCGAGAGCGACCGACAGGATCGCCTGGCGCGCGACACACAGGAGCGTCTGGCCCGCCACCACCCCAGCGGCCCTCACAAGCACCCGCCCGCATCAAAGCACCACTGGCAGCACAGAAAGGACCGCGACGACCCATCCTACCACGGACACTATGGGCTCAAAGAGCGGCCGCGCACCAAGGTGGTGGACACGAGGGGCCCATTCGACGACTCCCAGGGACGGGGCAAGGAGTGCGAGAGGGGGTCGCGTCGGACTCTGCAGCCGGCCGCAGGGACAGTGGAGCCGCGGCGGCAGGCGCTACTCAGACAGCAACTGAGGGCCACTCATGGCGATGGTCAGTGAGGGAGGGAGTGGGCCGGGCAGATGGCATGCAGCTGCATATGTGGATGTGAGTGTTGTGTGTGACAGGCAATGTAGAGGATCGTACTCGTCTTAGCCGATCAGCAGATGTGTTGCCGGGCGACCCCGTCTCAACACAGACGGGCGCCAAACTCAACGTCGCAGGTAGGTGGCTATTGATTGGGGTGCGGATGCAGCTGCCCTCTCTCTCATCTCTCCCCCTCTGTGTGTGTTGCAGGTGTGTCTAGTCGTCCATCCAAGCAGAGCGCTGCTACGACGCGCCAAGAGGAGCTGGCTGGGAGAGAATCGGCGCGCACCCGAAAGGAGAAAACCACTCTGACTAGGTGAGAGAGAGATCGCTACTGCGGCGCGCTCTCATGTGAGTCGATCACATTCCTGGCCTCTCTGCCCTGCCTTTGTGTTGCAGGTCGGGCAGTAGCGGATCTTCAGCAGCCAAAGCCACCCACACATCCAAGCGCGCAGCAGGGCTCACCACCAGCCACCGCAAGAATGGCGCGGCGTCGGCAGAGCCGGCTACCATCAGCACTGGTGGTGATGTGCGTGCCATAGCGCAAGCAACCCTGACTTGTGCGGCCGGAATCTACCGCGGCTATATGGAGGAGGTGCGCGCTGCCGCTCAGGATCGATCCGAGCCGTTCCCTCCGTCGCGCCAGCCTGGCGTCAACCGCCCCCCCTTGTCGCATCCCCTACCCGACCACGACAACGACAGTGACGACGGGAGCAGTCAGGAGGGCGAGGGCCACAGTGAGGAGGACCGCCCCGTGAGCGTGGTGCTGGCCGACTGGCCCGCCGCCTCGGCGAGGCGGATCGCACGGTGGGCCAGGGGCGATCCACTTGTCACTCACTGCCGCCAGCCGAATACCGAGAGTGTTCGCCGCCTCGTTCGTCCGCCAAGGCCCCAGAGACATCCCCTCCCAAGGCCAGCAATAGCAAGGGCGGCTTCAGCTTGGTCGGCATTCCCTTTTCCCCCTCTCAGCGGCCGCCCACGCCCACCGAGGCGCCAGTGGATGCGTCGCTGTGCCTCTCCCCCTCACCGTCAGCCAATTTGCCCCCACCAGTATCGCCCATCTCACCGTCATCGCCCATCAGGTCGCCGTCTCGCGGCCCCTTCGGCAATCGGCTGTTCTTCCGTCGCCCTTCCTCTCCCGGCCGCTCACCCACAAATCAGCAGCGTAAGGAGGGCCGTGAGGGGTCGTTGCCGGCCAGTCTGCGTAGCTCTCTGACAGTCCTGCAGCGGCGGACGGGCCCCAGCAGCCAACTATGGATCGACACGGACCTGCAGCACGAGCAGCGTCTGAGCCACCTCCGCTCAGCCGCCGCCACCTGAGCGATCTCGACCTGGCGGTGGGCGTGGTGAGGGGCAGTGGCGTGGAGCAGCCAGTGCCTACGCATGAGGGGCCGGGTGAGGGAGAGCGGCTGAGTGAGGGAGAGCAGCATGGGCATCCCGGCGATCCTGAGAGCGAAGGGTCGCTCGTGTATTCGTGTACCTCGGCCTCGTGGTCAGCAACGCTGAGCTCCGACCCCAGCAATGCAACCACACCAGCAGCGGCCGCCATGGATCGTGGCCAGGCGGACACTCAAGGGATCGATACTCTACAAGACGGCGCCGCTGATGTGGCCGAGGAGGGCGGTGAGATGACGGGGGGGGCGCTCGCGGTGGCGGGGGGCAGTCAAGGACGGGAGGGCGGCCTGCGGGGTCCAGTAGCTACAGCGATGGATATGGTGGATACGACCACAGTGCAAGATCAGCAAGCAGTTGACGTAGGCGAGTGCACTCACACACGGATGGATGACACAAGACACCTGTGCACCACCTACTGTGTCTTGTGTTTGTGGCTGGTTGACTCAATCAGGAGTCGGATTTGCCAGCGGCGCCTTCCTTGCCGCGCGGCGGAGACGTACAGAGGAATACTAGGGAGGGCGATACACGCAGAGAGGAGGGATAAAAAGGTCGGGCGGGAATAGGTGTGTGAATAGCTGATGGCTGCTTGCAGTATTTATTGACATTCTTGGGAGCATGTGCGCGTTGTTCTTTATTCCATTCCAGGTGTGCAGAACTCGTTGTCTATATAATTCACTCATACTCCATGTGCAAGCGTCAGCCATCCAACACGCACACCAGCTGTGCTGTCTGACCTTCATTCACACCATCACCATCTCCCAAGCCCGCCCACAGGCACTAAGATAGCTGTGGCCAAGATACATCATCACGCACACACAGGTGACGACGCATAGACAACAAATGCGTCGTGACACACACACCCAAGGCCACCATTTCACCCACAAACGGCTACTCGGCACGGCTACACATCTACATATCTACATGCTACGTCCGGTTATAGTACCTTCTCCTCGATGAATTGGCTAGACAACGCAGATCTGACTCGTCCATCTGTCATCGCAGCACCGTATATCATACACACGCAAGCTACAGAAAAACATACCTATCATCTTCTTTGTAGACAGTACAAAAGACACCATCTACCAACGATTAGTCAGTCAGTCAATCAGTCAGTCACCCTTCCACCTTGAGCAGATCCGCGATGACCTGGATGCTGCTCTCCTCCGCGTTGACGTCGCCCACATAGATAACTTTGCCCTTGCCCACCCTGGCGCACGCCACGCCCACCAGCCCCGGCTCCGTCGGCCTGGGCGCCTAGACCAGGCTGGTCGTCACCGACTAATCAGTCGACACATACATCCGATGCGCCTCAGGCACGTCCCTGCACACACACGCCATGGCACACACCGAGTTGCAGCCGCTTGACAGCGTGTGTGTGAATGTGTGTGTGTGTGCGTACTTGAGTGAGCAGCATTTGTTGTTGATGGCTTGGAGGAGGCATGACTGCGGTGCGTGGCTGGTCTTGTGGAAGGTGGTGCGCTCGTACGCAGTGAACTTCCACGACAAGTCGCACCTGCACTCGCGCACGTACGGCAACACACACACGTGTACGCAAAATGTCTGCAGGTGATGTGGCGGCGTGTGTTTGTGCGTCTGACTTGCGGAGGAATTCTTCGACGAACTTGACAGGTGCGTTGTGTGGCACCAGCACCGCGGTGGTGCCCTCGTCGGCCACCATCGTGTGCAGACGGCTGACCACTCCGCCTATCTGCTGCCGGAACTGACAGACAGACAGACAGACAGACGGATGCGCATGTACTGGTGGAGATGGATGGACGTCAGGGTGGCCTACGCTGGGGTCCTCCGGCTCGCTGCCACAGCAATCGTCCAAGACCATCGCGAGAACGACGGCGGACGGCTTCATCTCTACACACAACACACACACAGAGACCATTGAGTCAGGGAGTGCATGTGTCCTCCCGCCTGTCTATATCTCTGTCTGTGGACCTTGCAGCTTCTGCAGTATGTCGACTTCCCACTCCTCATTCTCCACAACGGTGCATCCGGGGATCACCTTCTCGGCGCGTTTCGAGAAGAAACACGAGGGCGTGGAGTCGATGATCAGCACCTCGGGTGTGGTTGTGGTGGCCCTGGTGGAAGACTGACTCCGCAGCGTCTGAAGGTCAACGCCAAGCTTTTTCTCTGCATACCGGCCCCCATGCTGCAGCAGGAAGCCTCGCTTCATCGGAAGTGATCTACGCGGCTAAGCTCGCAAAGGAGGACGATCCTCGCCGTGTGCCCCACCAGTGCCTGGCCGGTCCCAACCATTTGCAGCACATCTGGCTGGCTTCATGATTTCTCTCATTCACATACTATTCAACTCTAATCAGCTACTAGGCACCATTATATCTACACATCTACGCATCTCACTGAGACTCACAGACAGACAGACAAAAGCTAGTTGCACATCTAGTCAGTCAATCAGTCAGCCTTGTTTGAGCAGGTCCGCGATGACCTGGATGCTGCTCTCCTCGGCGTTGACGTCGCCCACATAGATAACTTTGCCCTTGCCCACCTTGGCGCAGGCCACGCCCACCAGCCCCGGCTCCGTCGGCCTGGGCGCCCACACCAGGCTGGTCGTCACCGACTCATCAGTCGACACATACATCCGATGCGCCTCAGGGACGTCCCTGCACACAGTAGAGGGCACGCCATGACACACACCGAGTTGCAGCCGCTTGACAGTGTGTGTGTGTGTGTGTGCGTACTTGAGTGAGCAGCATTTGTTGTTGATGGCCTGTAGGGAGCACGACCGCGACGCGCGGCGCGTCCTGTAGAAGCTGGTCCTTTCGTACTCCGATCGCTCCCACGGCAAGCCACACTGTGTTGTGCGACATGGATGGATGGAACACACACACACACACACACACAGAGAGAGAGAGAGAGAGCAACACATGAGGAGGAGAAGCAATCAGGTGACGCTGATCCTGTTTGCACCTTGCGGAGGAAGGCTTCGACAAACGGCACCGGCCCGTTCTGAGGCACCAGCACTGCCGTCGTGCCCTCTTCAGCTACCATCGTGTGCAGACGCTTGACTAGTCCATCAATCTGACGACGGACCTGCATGCACAGGCAGGCAAGTGGACGCGCGCATGACACAATGTCACACAATGCCACTTCACTTACCACCCACCCGGGAAAGCTTCAGATCATTTCTGAAGACAGGGTCGAACACCATCGCCAGAACAACAGCAGACGGCTTCCTCCCTGCGCACACCACACACAGCCAGAGGGACCAATCTGCCTGTCTGTCCGTCTGTCTGTCTGCCTGCCTGTGGTGTGCCTGTGTACCCTGCAGCAGCCCCAGGATGTCGGGTTTGTTCTTTTTTTAATGATCCAGGACGGGGCGACTTGTTCAGCGCTCTCCGAGAAGAAAAACCCGGGGGAGGAGTCAAAGACCAGCACATAGGGGAAGAGCCCAAGACGGGCACAGATCCGGCTGATGATCTGTTCGGCTTTCAGTAAACAGCAAGCAAACAAACCTTGCTTCGCTGCTGGATGGCGCCTCTTGCAACACACCCAGACGCTCATCTCGAGAGGCCTTGAATCAGACCGGTTACGCGGAAAGATCTCTTGTGGGTGAAATAATAGGAAATAGTGACAAGTCGACATGCGAAATGTTCCTGACTTTTTCGCTTGCTGTGCGCTGCATGCGGAATCCGGATGTATGTGCAGACACGATGGACTTCTCATTTGCAGCATATGTTGGATTTGTGCAACACTCTGCAAATGAGGCAGCCAATATGCCCGCACAAGCACCCCAGACACGCACGCGCAGTGAAGGAAACACCATCTTTCTCGGATTGACATGCACAGATATATCCACGCCACACAAAAGGGCAAAAGCACCCTTGCACCCATCACACGTTCACACGACATGTACCCGCCGGACACCAATGAGAAAGGCGAGCATGTGGGGGAAAACCATACTCGGTCGGTCGCAGACACAGACACAGACAAGGACACGGACACGCAATTCTTTCACAAATGCAGTCAGCCGCCTCCCTTCTTCTTGGCCAGGAGAGCCTCACGGATCTGCAGACACCAAGGAATACACGCAACACGCACACGGCCAAGCTATGAATGTATTTCTGACCGTCATTGTGCCGACTGAATGTTGTCCCTCCCTCCCTCCCTCAAGTACTGACCTCCTTGAATCTTGCGAGGCATTCCTTTTTGTTTTTGCCGGGCACGTCAGCGGCGATGGCCGTCCACCGCTCGTTCACATCTATGCTCGATGGATGCTTGGACAAAGCACGCTCCAACGCCTACCAATACACACACCCAACGCATCCAAACTGTGCTCGCCCGTCGTGCTGCTGTGCCCCTCTCTCTCTAGGTGTTGTGTGTGTACCTGTTGTTGGTCGGCAGTCCATTCAGCTGCAGGGGCGCTCTCAGCAGCAGCGGGGGCTTGCTTCCCATCTGCCTGTGTTGGTGGTGCTGCCTGTGAGGGCCCGGACGCGCCGTTGACGCTGGCTGACGACGACGATGCCGACGCTGATGGGGCCGCCGCTGTTGTGGTATCGTCGTCGAGTCTCTGGTCGGCGGGCGCTTCGATTTTTTTGAATGCGCCCTTGTTGTGCTGCATGAACTGGTTGAAGGCCACCTGGTCGAGCTTGGACCCCATCGACTTGAGCGTCTGGCCCTGAGACATCTCCTTGGTCTTCTCGATCACCTACACACACACACACACACACGCAGAGAGAGAGAGAGAGAGAGAGAGAGAACGCGCAATTGAGTGGATGGGTGGATAGAGATTTACCTCTTCGGGCGTCTTGGTGCCGATCATGGCTGCGATGAGTTGCCAGCGCCTGGCGGTGCCGCCAGGGTGCTTCTGAAGCCCCTTGGCGAGCATCGACAGCTCGTCCGGCGTCCAGTCGCTCTTCTGCGCTGCGCGACGCGCCTCCTCCGCTGCCTTGCGCTGAGCCTGCAGACAGCAGAAACGGCAAAAGAATGCGATGAGTGGGTGGGCGATGTATGGATGTGGGATTGGTGACATGACCTACCTCCTGCTGGATGGCCTTTTGCCTTTTGGCGTCTTCTTCCCTTTGCCTTTCCTCCATCATGACGTCGATCTCGGCGTTGATCAGACCACCCACACACTCACCCAGACCTGCATGGCACACAACAGAAGAGCAGAGGTTGAATAAACAGCGAACATCGGTGCGCGCGTCTGTGTCGTCGCATCTCACCCTGTGCGTGTTCGCCGCCCCTCTCCTCGATGGCGCGTTCGATCGCGTCGCACAGCTGCTGTATTTTGTCGAGGGCGAGGTGTGGGACGAGGTCGCCGAACCGCACCACGTCCACCAGCTGCTCGCTGTACGTGCTGTTGTACTTGCGCAGCCTCTGACGCCTGCAGCACACAAAAAGAGGCAGGGAGAAGAGGAATGGATGGATGGAGGTGGGGAGACTGGTGATGGTTCCTGGTAAACAAACAGACCGACTGACTGACCATTGCTTGAGGTGTTCCTTTTCGGCTTTCCGCTTGTCCCGCTCGGCCTTCTCCTGCTCCTCACGACGAAGCCGCTCCTCGTGCTCGAGACGCCTGAAGGCATACATGAATAAACGGATGCAGGCAGCTGGTGGATGGGTGCATTCACTGCCGTAGCTGTGTGTCGTGTGCGCACCTCTTTTCTTCCTCCGCCTTCCTGACTTTTTCCTTCTCCTCCTCGATGGCCCGCCTGCGCGCGTCTTTCTCGTCCTGGCGCTTCTTCCTGGCGGCCTCCTTCTCTGCCAAGATGCGGGGATCCCTGAATGAGGAAAAGAGACCACACGTGGAGGGGTTCAGGGGTGATGGTATAGGGCTGTGTGTGGGCTGGGGAGGGGGGGAGGGCTGGGGGGGTTACCTGCTGTATGCGAGTTCGACGAGCTTCTGTATGCGCTGTTTGTCCTCCTTCTCGTACTTCTTCCGGATCTTGGCGTTCTGACGCTCCATCCACCTAACACACACACACACACACAGGTGTGCAAATGGATGCGCATGTGTCTGTCTGCCAGCTGCTCACTCACCTCCGCTCCTCCCTGAACTCGGCGTCGTTGAGGTCGAATTCGTCGTGGATGGAGAAGTCCCGCCACGAGTCGAACTCGTACCAAAAGTCGTAGAACCGGCGCACCAGCTTCATGTCCGTCGACGAGTCACCAAGCGACTGCACACACCACCCACACACACACACACAACAGCAAATACACCAGAGTAGACTGACACACCGTGTTGGCTCATGTGTGGACTCACCGGCACTGGTCTCCGTGTGGACCACTTGGCGTTTCGCTCGAACACGGGCCGCAGCACATCGAAGAAATCAGCAGAGACGAAATCTCTGGCGCCGGGGATCTCATCGTCGAAGGGCAGCGCAGAGTCGTACGCGCGACGCATATCGGGATCTGACCACAGCCACATCCACAACCACGTACAGCACAACCACACCGCCTCTCTGCATGTGTGCCTGTCCATCTGACTCACCACTGAGAACCTCATACGCCTCCTGCAGCTGCAGAAACTTCATTTTGAGCTCCTCGGCAGCGTCGCCCTCCCCCTCATCCCCATCGCCACCGCCACTGTCAGCCCTGTTCTTGTCCGGGTGGTACACGAGCGCCAGCCGTCGGTATGCCTTGCGGACATCCTCGCTGGTGCATCCCTCCGAGACCTCCAGGATGCGGTAGAGGTTGGGCCCGTCCACCACCCGATGCAGGAGGTCCTTGCACCCGCCAGGCTGACGCTTCTTCTTCTTCCACGAATCCTGAAACGAACAAACGAACGATCACATGTACGCGATGTCACAGGAAAGATCTTTCGCACATGCATCAGTCGCCGTGCCGCTCACCTCTTCCTGTGCGTCGTCGTTGCTTCCCTCGTCGTCGTCGTCATCTCTGTCCTCCTCTCTGCTCTTCCTCCTCTTGGCCTCGCACAGCGGCCTGTCGTGCACCTCGAAGAAGGCACGGCCGGCGTTCTCGAGGCAGCGGGTGGCCGTGCACACACTCAGATACACCGCCGAGCCCTCCGTGAAGGACGGATCTGGCGGAGGCAAACACAGCATCTCTCGGACCAGATAAGATGGGTGAAGAAGATCTGAATCGCTGGCTGTCAACACAGTTGTAGCCAGTTGGGGTTATGCGTGGTGTAGCGGTCGTCCTTCTTCTTTTCCTGCTGACGTCTGACGCGAGCTTAGCTCGCAGCCCTTTTTGCGAGCTTCTCGCATGGGAAATCAATGCGTGTTTTTGAGCCTCAGTTCCGCGCCTATCTCACCCAGGACAGGGCCTCACCCGTTGAACACTATGGTGCAAAAGATCCACATGCGCTGGGGGGAGACGGCGTTGTGTGAGTCATGCGGTTTTGCTGAATGCAGGCTATCTTCTCGAGTATAATGGTCAGCTGGACGAGGGCGGCGAGGCTGCCTTGAGAGATCCCCACCAATGGCAGAAGCGGTGGTTCCATCTCAAGGTGCAAAGACGAGGGGCGTCTCAGCCACACATTCTCGTGTCTCTCGGTGCAGGGCAACCTCCTGTTTGTGTGCGACTCGCACACCCAGCTGACGAATCTAGCGTGCCTGCTGCTCGAAGGGTGCCAAATCAGCAAGAAAGATCTACTGGAGGAGGAACATCCCTACGGTATCAGACGAAAGCAGACGCATGCACGCTGTTCTCCACAATTTTCCCCTCCTTACAGGCCTTTCATTCGAGTGGCATGACGACGCCATTCAGCTCTTCTCCCTCAGTGACCAGCCGAACGATCGGGACGCCTGGTTTGCGGCATTGGAAAGGTGTACACTGACCTACTGCCACGGCCGGCTGACGTCTGCCACTGAGCGGCTGAAGGACGAGGAGGAAGCTGCTGCCCGTCTGTTGAGGGAGAACAGGGCGCTGACGCGTGAGTGCCGGTCGCTGCGGAGCCAGATCGCGTGCAATCGGCAGGGGCAGATGGTGCGCATGTGCGACGGAACAGAACACGAGAGGTGACACACAGAGACACACACAGAGAGAGACGTAGAGTAGATGCGAAAGCGTCCTTCCGTGTTGTGATGCAGGCTGATTGGCCGTGTCCTGGAGCTAGAACAGCAACTGGATGACATCCAGCATAGCGGACAGGCGGCGTGGCACGAGCCAACAATGCCACCACCACCACTATCGAAGGAGCAGCTGCTCTCCCAGGCTCTGCAGCAGTCACACGAGAAGGTCATTCGCCTCCACCGGATTTGCCGCAACTTTACTCACCACCTGGCTCCCCCGGTGGCTGCTGAGGTCTCCTTCCTCCTCGATAATATCAGCACGGACACCCCAGCTTTACCACTGCAGAGGACACAACCTGTTGTTGCCTTGGTGCAACCGATAACCCCGCCTTACTACCAGCCGACGGCACACACGCTATCAGCAGAAATGCAGATGCCGATCTACAGTGGCCAGACACAAACGTTTGTCCCTCCTCCCGTGGCAGCAACCGGCCCATCGCCATCGGTGACCCACCTGCACACCGGCTCTCTATCGTCCCCTCCTGCGCCACCAGCCGTGTCTCGACAGCCGCCCTCCACGCCTCAGTGGGGGTCGTGTCTCCCCGACCTCTCCCCATGTATCTACCCGAGAGAAGAGGCAGCCGCCGCACCCGAAGCCCTCTCGTTCAGCCTCCTGCCCCAACCTGCGCCAAGAAATGTGCCTGTGCTGCCGGAAGTCACCCCTTCCCACCCCAGCAACATTCGACAGATGATGGCAGGCGCAACGCAGGAAGACAGAGGCGGGACAAAGGTGTCCTCTCCTTTCGTGGATAGTGGCGGGGATCCGGAGAGTGCGGAGGACGGCACGAGGAGCGATCCTGTGACGGGGCAGCCTGTGAGAGCGCAAATAGAGCCGGATCGATGGCAGCAGACTGGGTTAGATGAAGAGCTGGAAGTCGACAAGGAAGAGGCGGAAACACGGGACATTCGACCAACGCGAGACAGGGAACGACCAACCACAGCCGACGATCACCACAGAAGAGAGCCGACGGGGGCTGGCACTCGGCCTTCATCTCCCCCTCAACCCAAGCGTCCGGCTAAAGACCGCCCTCCTCTCCCGAAATCGAGGCCGCCGCCGAAGCACCCTCCACCTCGCACCACAGCCCCTGATCGGCCTGCCACCGCCTCATCGCCACCACGGAGACGGCAAGACGACGCCAATGAGACACTGGTCTCACGACCAGCAGCTGATTCGGATCGCCAGTCGATGAGAAGGGGCGATCATGTTGAAGGTAGGAGGCGCCATGGAGAGCGAGAAGAAGAAAGAGAGCAGCACTCGCATGAAGAGTTGGACTATCGAGAGCCGTCAAGCGAGGAGACTGGTGAAAGCGAAATTTCTCAAGTGAGACATGAAGGACGCCGGCCTGGTACCTCGATTCGCCATGAGCACAGAAGAGGAGAACAAGGCAGGGAGCAGCGGAGTGACCAGGACAGCCAGTACAGCGGCAGCTACAGCTATGGCCATCCACATGAGCGGCGGAGGCAGGACAAGCGCATGCAAAAGAAACCATCGCATCCGGAAGATGAGCCCGCGACACAAGAGAGCCACCAGGGAAGGAGAACCATGGCGGACAAGAGGACCACCGCTAAGGAGAGGAAACCATCTCGCCGCCGTCACACTGGTCCTGCAGCCTTTCCCAGCGAGCCGCCGGCCCTCGAGCACATGCGCACCTTCCCCCCTGATGAACTGAAGCAAGTGCAACCGCCCGTCGGCGGAGGGCAGGAGTTCATGACTGTCCACATGCCGACATTCACTTCCCTCCTCGCCGAGCTCAACAAGACCAAGAAGCCGTCAGGACGAGACAAGAAGGAAGACAAGAAGAAGACGCGAAAGGAAAGCCCCGCTGTTGTGCAAGTGGACCAGCAAATGCCCCCACTCTTGTGGACAGGGGGAGACGAGCAGCAAGCAGAGAGGCCGGCTCTGCCATCCACCCCGCCACCAGCACTCATCCAGGAAACCCAGCCGCCTCTTGTCCACGCCCCAGCGAGCCAATCATGGGACCGCTTCTCTGTGAGGTTCTCCCCTACTGATGATACCCACATGCAGCCCAACCAATGGAAGAGGGGAAAGGGGACACAGACGGGGCGTGCCGATGTGCAGCTGGTGGGTGTGGGGGGCAGCGACGGGTGTGTGTGGAGGAGGCCGCCTGATGCGAGTGGCTGTACGAGGACACATCTGCTGTGGGCGCAGTGAACTTGATTGGGTGGAGCTCTTCATCTCCTTGTGCGAGAAGGTGTGGGCGTGTATGCGTGTGGCTGTGTATGTATGTGCTTTTGTGTACATAGAGACTGACAGTATATTTGTAGCTGCCAGTGATGGGACTGGGACAACCTTAATGGCCAAGTCATGGCCAAGTCAATGAATGAATGCTTCGTGGTCTCTTTCGATGGCCAGACGCCGCACAGAACCTAATATGCGAAGAAGCCACCCATGACATTCCGGGAGTAGCCTGACGTGGCACAAGAGGACAAGCGGCGGTGTGTTTTCGTCTCGCATCCATGCGTGTGCGTGTGTGTGGGTACCGGGGTTGGTATTCCTCGAGTGCAGATCGCCATCGATGCGGCCCTTCACCTCACCACTCGTGTGACTTATGATCAGCTGCACATTCAAGCGCACACACAACACCGAAACATCACCAGCCAAGCCAGACACAAGTGTCCGTGTCTCTCTGAGTCTGACCGGTGTGCTTGGCTTGAGCCCCTTGTCGCAGTCCACAAATGTGCCGTGCAGTGGGATCCTTTGTCCCGTCGACCGAGGGGCAGGCGACTTGTCGGCCAACACGCGGGGGCCGAAAGGCGTCAGCGGCGCCGAACCGGGACGAGCTGCAGGACCATAAGAGAAACACAGGTTGCGCTGAGGAGACGGTGTCTCGCTTCTTTTTACCGCAGTAGTGGGGTTTCAGGAAGCGTCTCGCCGCGTGTGTGGAGTGGTAGAGCTGCCCCATCCCCGCACCACCAGTGTTCGGCTGAGCTCCCGCAAACACACTCGACAACATTCGCTTCTCCACAGTGTTCTTCCAATTCTGAACGATCGCCACCCCAGTGACCGCACTCAGTCTGCGAACATTGCTCTGTACGGGCAGCGTTTCTTTTGCACCTTGAGCGTGACGGTCCCCTGCCGGTAGCAGTCGCCCTGCGTCCCTTTGTACCGATAGTGATAGAAGGGGTACCTGACGTAAAACCACGACATTCAGCCGCTTTCACCTGAGCATGACCGACATTGACTCACTCGGAGCGATGGAAGTGGCCGTAGTCCGAGCCCAGGAAAGCATGGGGATTGAAGTGTCCCGAGCCGAATCCCTCCTCTCCCCACTCATAGGGCAGCGTGTCGTGGATGGCAGGCTTCAGAACTGCTGTCACAGAGATGGAGTCACAGAAATGGGGCATGCCGAGTGGACGTTGTGATGACGTCAGGTGACTCACACTCTGGTTGGGTGGCGTTGAGGTCCATAGCCTCTTGGTGGACAGCAGCAGTTGCACCAAGTGCATTATCCTCCGCAGCGGACGGCATTGCGAAGACGAGGCTCAACCGAGGGAAAATTGGCCCCGAGAGGATCGCATAAATTGGGGCCCGGGAGACGGGGATGTTGGGCTTCCTGCACGGCCGGCGGACTCCCCGACTGCAGGGCAATGAGGGCGGGGGCAGGGGAGACGGCCCCAGCCGCCCCAGCCGCCCCAGCGGTGTTGAGGAGGTGTGCTACATCCAGCTGCCGAGAGTCGACGACGGCGACGCTGCCGCACAGCAGGCCATCCACCACACACAGACGGGCCATCCCGAGGTCACCTTGCAGTGCTCCTAGCGCATCTCTGTGTGTGTGGCCATCGGCCTCTGATGTCTGTGTCCCTCCCTCCCTCAATGCATTGCAGATGTCAGCGTCGGCCTCGAGTGACCAGGTCCCTCTGCTGCAGGACGATGAACAGGGGCTGATGGAGCCCCAGCTGCCGGACGTCGCCGATGACATCATCGAGGCACCGAGACGCATCGAACAGGTGTGATGGTCTGGTGCCGAGAGCGGCACGAGAACACACTCATGAGATGTCTCTCGGACGTCTGTGTGTCATCTGCAGGTCCCCCTGGTGGGTGCCCCGGCCGTCGACGATTGGAAACCGACGGAAGACCTGAGAGACAGCATCGCAAAGGCCATTGATGAATCAGATGCGGAAGGCCTGCGGAAGGCCCTTGCCGGTCTGTCGCCTGAGCAAGCCGAGAGAGCGTTGACGACTGGATACTGGATCGGCGGCGACTCTGCCATCCACTATACCGCAAGTACGTGGACACAGATGATGCAACCACGTGGTCCCTGTATGTGCTTCACAGGGATGTGTAAGGATGTGGAGGTCTTTAGTGTCTTGCTGCACAACCGACGCCACCTGCTCAACCTGAAAAGTGATGCTCAGGTATCATACTCGCTGATTATACTCATTCTGCCATCAGCCGATCGATGTGTCCACAACAATCTTCATGTAGGATGCTGGGACACCTCTCCATTACGCAGCAGGGAGCGGGTCAGTTGGTATTGTGGAGAAGTTTGTCGAGTGGGGCGGACAGGAGCTGCTGGAGGCTCGGACCAAGAGGGTAAGGGTGAGGGAATGTCGACTGGTGCATTGGACAGCACGTGTCTTGCTCATGCTGTATGTGGCTCAGTTTGGCAACACGCCTTTTCATTCGGCAGCAGGTCAGCCACAGGTGCATGAGTCTTCAATGTGTCCCTTTGCACTCTCCTGCAGGGAAGGGCAATGCCGATGTGGTGGCGGTGATGTTGCCAATGAATCCACAGCTCTTGAAGATCAAAACAATGTAGGCTGCACCTATCAAGCTATGTGTCGCTGTTGTCCCTGCACGTATATCTGACAGGACGGACGGACGCCTCTCGATGTTGCCCTTCGATGCCACCCGTCAGTCGTCGTAGCGATGCTTGTCGTGGCTGGAGACGTGGTCATGGAGCTGCTCGAGCGAGGCGTGAACATGGAATATGCGTCAGCAGAGCGTCTTGATGAGGTGGTGCCCTTCGCGAAGGGGTTCCTGAAGGACCACTCTGAGTCGCTGGGCCTCGACAGCCTTCGCTGCTGTGCCGTATTCCGCAAGCTGATGAAGTCACGACCGAAGGACTCACTCACAGAGTGAGATCGAACGAAGAGAAGGGGACAGCGCGAAGGATTGGGTTTTTCGTTCTTCCTATTTTATTCTTCGTGCAGTGACTTTGAGAAGACTTCCAACTGGCAGGAAGTACACAATGACAAAAACGCACAATAGCCTTCACCCCCGCATTGATTGTCCAATCGGTTCAGGCGCTCACAGCCAATTTCTGCAGCGATACATCAGACGGGACCTTCCAAATGTCACTTGAAGGCAAAGAGAGAGAGTGGTTTGCGGCGCTGGAGTCGGCAGAGCCTCTGACTGTGGTCACCCAAGGTAAGCCGCCCAAGAGACCTCCTCGTCTCTCTGTCAGTCCGCTCACGCCTCCTTCTTTCCTCTGCTGCCAATAATTGTGACAGCCAACTGCATCTCTCTTGTCACATGTCATTGGAACAAAGAATACGGAAACTGGAGCGTCAAATTGTCACCCCGTGATGTCTTCATCAGCCGCGTGCTGTCAATGCTCCTGATGTAAGACTGCAACCATTTGTAAAGAGACCCGCGGCGTGTCTGTCTGTGTGTGCTGCAGGGTAGCCTTTGTGCTGCTGCACATCGAGTCGATCAAGGGAGACAGCGGCATGACGATGGCGGCGGAGTGGCCGCAGGTGTGGCTGTGGGGGACAGTGCTGACCGGCAGCGGATTCATCCTCCTGGAAACTTTCCAAGTAAGACAGATCAGATGAGACATGTCGGACTTATCAACAATGACATGTGTCGTCCTTTGTGTGCCCTCTTTGTGTGCTTGTATAGGGCATCCGGCTTAAGGCAGCATACTGGGCCGACTCATGGTACGCGTCGGGCGTGCTAAGCTCACCGTGCAGGGGACTTCATTTGTGGACTGTCGGACATAGGAACTTTGTGGACTTCCTGAGCTCCGTGTCCATCGTCGCCTTCGTTGCCATCCACTTCATGGGCTGGTCAATAGAGGCAGAGGTCGGCTCAGGGATCGTCATAGCGCTGCTGTTTGCGCTGCGCCTCCTCCAAACGGCCAGCCTGCACCCAAGCGTGGGACCACTCATACTGTCAGTGAGAGAGACAAAGACACACTGACAGACAGATGTCATGTCTGATGTTGTGTGTGATGGATGTGTGTGTCAGTGCGGTCGTGAGGATGTTTTCGGACATCAGCATGTTTCTGTGTCTGTACGTCTACATCCTGCTGGTCTTCGCGGTCGTCTTCACCCTCTTCTCGTCCTACGAAGACCACCAGTACTTCGGCTCCTTCGCCAAAGCCACACTCACACTGTACTCAATGACATCGACACACACAGAGAGAGAGCGCGCCAGTCGCCATGCTGTTGGTTGGTTGGCTGCATTCCATTAGTTTCTACGCGGGTCTTGGCGACTTCACTGAGGCGCTGAACAACGCCATCGAGAGCCACGACACGCTGGGGACCGCCCTGCTGTTCACATACGTCATCCTCTCCTCAATCATACTCGTACGTGAAGACCACTCACGCACTCAGTCACCAGTGGACAAGCCACACACTGTGGATGACTCCCTGTCTTTCTCTCTCTCTCTCCGTATCAATAGCTCAACCTGCTCATCGCCATTATGGTGGGACACAACACAAGGAACACCCCGCGTGCTCCTGTCTGTGTGTCTGTATGTCTGTATGTCTGTCTGTGTCAGGCGTCGACGTATGCGGCCATCGAGGAGACACAAACCGGCCAATACCAGTAGGCGACAAGGGGACACAACCGACAAGAAAGACACGCCGGGGAGACAGACGACAGACAAAGAGATGTCAGCGGGACAGCGATACATAATAGCTCTCTCTCTCTCCGCTCGTGAATGACTGAGTGCAGGCTGATGCGCATTCGCGTGTTGAATGAGTACCTCACAATGCCGCAGCACGAGCGCCTGCCGCCGCCATTCAACCTCATCGGTCGGTGCGACCGACAAGAGACATCAACTGCAGCCATCACCGTGAGCATGATCTGTGTCTGTGCAGCTGTGGTCGTGTCGCAGCCCCTGCGCTATGTCGCCTCCCTCATCAGCGGACATCAGTCGGCACTCTGCCGCATTGCCTTCTGGTCGATGAGGGCTGTGTACTCCACCATCGATGCGCTCCTGAGCGCTGTCGCCTTCACACCCGCAGCCATCTATCGTCAACTGGAGGAGCTTCAACTAGCGATACGATTCCGAGACGACTGGATTGCAGTCCGCATGTTTCTTCGCATCCTCTTGATGCCCTTGTATCTTCTGTACGATTACGTCACATCAGCAGAGGTGAGTCATCTGAAATCAGAATTTTGTATCCAGCGATGGGATTTTGTCCAATTTCTTCCCTTGAAAGGAATCTTCCGAAGAAAGTGAGGAGGTAAAAGCTTCGAGAGCCGAAAGGAGGCGCGAAACACACAGTTGGCATAAAGCCACCAAAAGCTTCGATAAGTGGATGGAGGCTGCGGATCATCACGACTCCCACTTCCCTGACGTCATGGCAGGTGAGACAGAGACTGTCACAGCCTGCCAACTGTGCCTCTTTCGGTGCTCTGCAGCCCTCAAACACTTTCAGGACAAGAATCAGTCTTCTCAATCCGAGACGCTGTCAGGTGACAATGACAGTTTTAACAAGACAAACCAGTCATCTCTGCCTTGCTGTGTCTGTACCTCAGTCTTGAAGAGGATTGATGAGCGGCAGACGAAGATGGAGGAACGGCAAATGGAGATGGACGCGCGATTGAAGAAGATTGAGAACAAGGTGGGATAGGAGGGGACACAGCGACTCCATGGCTGTTCGGCATGGCAAACGCACACACGGAGACTGGAGGGTGCAGCCACAGAAGACAGATGGACAGAGAGAGATGAGACGAGAATAAATACATTTATGTAATGTACCCTGGGTGGATGGAAAACCTGCGTATGCCAAGAAATGTGCAAACGATATAATATCTACCACTCCCTTTTGCTGCAGATTCGATTTGTTGCATTCGGAGACGCCTTTAATCTAGCCTTCCCAAGCATTATATCACTCTACATCACTCTCCATTTCGTCTGAATCATCCGTTCATCGACATGAAGCTGTCCCCCGGTAACATCCAATAGAAATGCTGACACACTTCGTGGACAACTCGAACCACAAACGACAAACTAAACCCTCTCTTCACATCACCACGATCATGATGTGTTGCTGGTCGGTCTGTCTCGCCCACACGGTGACGCCGGTGAGCATTTCTCGAGTCGTAGCGTGTCTGTGCCGTGAGGGAATCGTACAGGATCCACCGACCCTCCTTGAGAGACAGCATCAAACGACAGAGAAGAATACGTACACATTCAGCCATGTGTGCCCGTTGCATGGCGCCCTGTACCTTTCTGTCTTCACGAGCATTAGAGCTCAAGTGAGGTGAGCCAACCAGCACCGTCTCGCGACATCCCTGCATGGATGTCAGAGTGCACACATGTGTAAGCAGCGGTGGAACAACAGACCTTTCTCACCTGCGTTTCTCTCAAGCAGCCCATCTCTATCGACGATCCATGGCGACCCTTGTTGCCCCTCCTGCCCAACACGGTTAGCTGGAGGTTCAGCGACTCTCCATTTGCCTCAAAGAGTGTCCACCCGCCAGACTCCTTGCCATAAAATGGGGCCGAGATGACCACGGTAGCCGTTTCATTTCCCCGCCGTGGCTTGACCATCATCTGTGGCACAATAAGAGACAGGCATTGTACTCCTGTGCTCACTCTCCTGTGTCTCCTTTTCTGACCTGTGCGCCGAATCTTGCCAGCTCCGTTGGGTGAGGGGAGGCGACTGTCTCTGACGGCATGTCTGCGAGAGAGGTTGCCTTGCGCGACCGTCCATGGGCGATGAGGTCACTGGACTTGAAGCCATAGATGTAACCTGCGGAGTCGAGTGGTCGCAGGGGGAAGGAACCATGATTGGTGGCGCCAGGGGCACCGACCCATACCATCGCCTGTGCACACACACGGAGCAGTGTGTCTATTGTTCAGCTCGTTCTGTGCGGATCTGTGGTCACCTCTGACGCATCACTTGAAGGCACCACCGCACACGAGATTCCAAACCTCGCATGCGGCTCAGCATTCACCACGTTAAAGACCTCCGCCGCGGCCAGGCCGCCACCATCAGCATTTGTGCTCTTCACTCGATAGCCATAAATGGCCCCTCCCCCGACCAATCGCGTGCCACCAGCTCCTTTGTCGTCGCCATAGAGAGGCGCCCCGACAATGAGGATGGTCTGACCGTCAACTGTTGATGCGCAAACGCACTGGCCGAAGCCATCAGCCAGCGATGGGCTCGTGAGCGTCAGGTGGGGAGGGGGGTTCGGTTGGCTGTTGTGGGCTCTCGAGAGAAAGACGTCCACTGTGCCTTGCGACAGTGTGGACAGAGTGCTGTTGCCGTCCTCCAACACGCGGACTGATGCTGCTAGAGGGGACGATACCATCAGGTCATCCTGGCCATCCTGACGCATAGAAACGGCGACACACACACACACACACACACACAGTGAGGCGCACCTTCTTGCTCCCTGGCTGGCACACACCTGATCCATATCAGCTGTCGCGAGATGCATCCCATAATTCGATTCTGCCGTGTTTCCATCGATCCGATAGTGCGGCAGGTCGGTGGCCGTGAGGGTGATCCGGCCGCCTGTCGGCTGGGGAATTCGATGGAAGACAAAGACCGCCCCAGTGGCATTCTTGCGCTCACAAGTCAGGTCGATCGCATCTAGCGAGCCTGTAAAAGGAAGAAAGGAACAATGAATGTCCAAGGCTTGGCACTTGCTCGCTGTCATCGCACCTGTGGATTGTGGTGCGCTGACGATGATATCCTTCTCGCCGTCTCGGTCGAGATCCAGACACTCAACGCTCCAACCAAAGCGACCCAGCGGCTCCACGCCCTGAAAGAAGAAGAAAGTGGCACTCCTGTGTGTTTTTGGTATGCTCATGCAGAAGACCTCACCAGTATTTCGATCTTGGTCTGCATGTCGTAAGGATCGAAATACAGCGTGACACGTCCGCAGGAGGGGCAGTCGGGCGAGGTGGAGTAGCCAGGAGCCGATACGACCCACTCGTCAACCCCGTCACTGTTGACGTCACACGCTTTGATGGCATGACCTTCATAACCTGCAGGCCGAGAAGCATCGTATTCACAAGGGGTCATCTGTGCATGTTCGCGTACCGTATGAGCCCTCTTTCCACATCAGCAGATCTTCGTTGCCCCTTTCTGTGGCCGTCTGAACCGCACACGAGGCCACAGCCTCTCTCCCTTTTCTCTGTCAATCGCCCACCACATTGCCGCTTCCTCTCAATCGACGGAGCCTCTTCACCAGTCCGTGCAGGCGGCCCTTGCTTTCCTGCTTTTGCCTATCGCTGATGTTGTTGGGAGGAATGATGCATTGGGGCAGTTTGGCCGGCGGGCCGTGCTTGAGCCACTGCCACGTCCGCTGCCACGCTATCAACGTGAAGACGGTCATGTCATCGATTCCTCCTGCCCAGAATTGCTGCAGGTTTTCGCGGATGAAGGGATTCTGAGACAGAGAGAAGCTGGAGGAACATGACCAATGTGCCATACCAGTGGCTGCCTACCGTCTTGGCGAATCGTGAGTAGAGTAGTGGTGCTGCGTCTTTCGCCGCCTCTCTCTCGGCACGAATCAGAACAGCGCATCCTGAGTAGAGAGATGCAAGAATACAGGCAAGTGTGTGCAATGCCGCCGTGCATTAGTTGTTGGTGCTCACTTCGGATCGCCGTTGGGCTGATAGCGAATCCCCTCTTTGCGAGGACCTTGTGCAGTGTTGCCGTGGGCAGCCACCTGACACAGAAAAGACACATAGAGGATGGATGCAGCGGCCCCACCCACGATGTCTTACCAGTCTTTCGACACACCATTTTTCCGCAGGCTGTCCTGCACCGAGCAAAACCATCACAACAATGGACACATTATCACGCCGGCTCTCATGATGCACTGACCTCCACGCCCAGCACAAACTCCCCGCCAACATCACCGCTCGTATGCGCCGCCTGACACAGCCCACCATCGCACCCAAAATCCGCCATGCCCGAGTACTGCAGCCACCCGAAGCCTCCCGCCTGCTGCAGCCCATGCCAGTTGGTATCCGCCATATAGTGTGACACCATGCCCAGCAGAAAGGCCACAAGCGGCGGGCGGTGAGAGGGCGGCAGCGAAAGGATATGGGAGACGATCGTCAAGTGAAAAGGCCGCCAATGGGCGTCTTCTGCTGCATCTGAAGGCAGTGAGATCACACAGGTCAGACCATTGATATTTATCTGTGTGTGACAGCCGTGGGTACCTCTGTTGCCGCAGCCATAAAAGAAGTCCGGGAAGACGCCTCCAGCCCACGCAGCGTCACGGTGCTCACTGAATGGACAATCAAACGTGAGCTGACTGCCCGTGTTGCGTGGTGGCTTACCGTAGCAGCGATGCGAACCCCATGTCCATCATGTGAGCGTATCGCATCGCTCGGGTGATGACTTCGATGTGGACATTCTCACCGCAGCCGTCGATGGAAATGCAGCAACTTAAGAACAGGACGGAAAGGACACGCCGACTCACATTCATAGCTGGGACAGCCGTGATGTCTGTGCGAAGGCGTGGGTTCGATCGCGGGACAAAATAATTGTACAACCCAAATCGGGACAATGCATAGGGGGCCGCACGAAGAAGCGCTCCCAGGCAACAGGCAGACACACCGATAAATCATCCCACAACCACCACCACAGACAGTTGAACTCGACTTTCTTGAAATCCACAACACGTGAGCACCAAGAAAGTGCGAATCCCTAAGCCCGCCTCCAGCGACAGAAGCAATTCAATCCCTCATTCTGGTCCTCCACCCCACAGAAGCACGCACAATGTCAACATTGTCATGTCATGGCCCACCCCAACAAACCGCACGATGACAAGCACACATACGAGACGATAAATTTCGCACACGAACAGCACAGAATCAAGTCATGCGACAGGACCCAAGCGACTGCGACCCAACAGCATAGATACACCACGGATTAAAGCAGGGATTAAAACCGAGGGATGCCTCATGAGAAGTGAACAAAGCCCGCACATTCATAAAATGCCACAAGCACCACACACATAGCTGGCAACCAACAAGCGCACGCCCACAGAGTGAATCCGCGCACCATGACCATGGCCTTTGAAAAAACCCATCTATCCATGCCAGCATGAATAGCATCAAAGGACTGCATCTGGATGGGACTGATCCATCCCATATACGCTCTCATGAATGGAACACTCGAAGTCAGACAGACAAACGCCCACGGATAGAGAAGGACAGGGAGGAGACGAAGATCCCGGCAGACAAAGAGAGCGAGAGGCATGGCAGCCACACAGGACGGACAGCCTTGTCGCATACAGCCACACAAGAGACCGACAGGAAGAAGCGATCGCAGGCGACGGACAGACAGCCAGACAGCCGGACAAGCACAGTACGAATTAGCAAACGAACAACACGTAAGGGGGAAAAGTGAGACCCCACCTTTGTGCTTTGCCTGTCTCTGCTTTGATCCATTCTCTTTCTCGTTGCAAGAGAGCCCAACAGAGCCCCTAGAATACTACAACTATCACACAGACATGATAAAGGCAAGCCACCAACCAACCAACCAACCAGTGCACGTCCAGCATGAATCCGCTCACCACAATCCATGACCAAGGCATTGTACATGTCCGACTGGCATCGATTGATGGCATCTCACACACGCTCTCACGAATCAAACACTCGCAGTCAGACAGAGGAATGCCCGCCCACCCACAGAGAAGGACAGAGAAGATACGAAGATCCCAGCAGACGAAGAGAAGGACAGAGAAGATACGAAGATCCCAGCAGACGAAGAGAGCGAGAGGCATGGCAGCGGACGGACGGGTTTGTAGCATACAGCCATACAAGAGACCGGGAGAAGAAACGGTCCAAACACATGCACAAAGTCCGTGAAAGGCAATAGCCTTGCGGTCACAGCGTCACTCCGCTGTCCACGGACTCCGCTTTGCTTGGCTCGGTCCCCACAACCATCTCTGTTTTGCTGCGATTCGTTGCGATGGACGGCAACACGGAATGCAGAGCATAACGCAGCACGAACAGAAGAATCTTACATATCTGCAAGACACGCGATCCCATGACAGAGATACAATGCAGCTCTGCTGTTGTGTGCGGTAACCTGCCATTGTGCTGATGTACCTGGAAGAGTGAAGTCAGGAGAGACATGAGCGTGACGGAAGGAATGCTTTGACCGCCAGCAGAGAGCATAACGTACGATACCTGTACATATCAGCAGACAAAATACACTTAGCGGAGAGAAACCGTGCTTTTCTTGTTGGCGCGCCCTCACCTGCAAAGCCACCTGCGGGATGTCCTCTACAGGGATGCACACAGTAGGAAGGACTTACAGGAAGGCTCCATTCGTCAGTGAGGACGTAATTACCTGCCAGTGAGAGAAGCTCGAAACCCAGCATGCTCTTGATGTGCAGCTGCAGCGACATCGACTTCCACCCAAACAGATGAGACGCAAACAAATGCAAGACGCCCAAGTGCATAAAGGAGCTCCCAAACAGCAGCACGATGATGATCACATTCCTGCGGTCTTGTGCGAGCTCCTCCATCCACTTGCAAATGTGCAGGCTCTGCCTGCTGCCGCCGCGCAGCAGGACGATCAGCGCCAGGGAGTTCGCGAGTGTGATGATGATGAGATGCAGCAAGCCAACCCAAAACACCCAACCCATCTCCTCATTGTAGGAGCGGGCGACGAAAGTGACGTCGGTGATGAAGTCCCAGAGGCTGATGCTTGCCTGCATGACCAGAACAATGCTAGTTCTCCTCTCGTAATATACGCGGGAGATGCAGGCGACCACGAACGAGCCAAGCAAGAGGATGGCACCGGCGAGAAGCCAGCCGAGAGAGCTGTAGTTGATCTCCACAGGGCAGCGATCGCCAAACGGCACTCGAACGTTCTTCACCTCCAGAACAAACAGCGATAGCGGTGAGAAAACGTCGCGATAATAGTCTGCACACACAGGCACATTGCCTGTCGTACATGGCTTGACTGATGCTCTCTCATACCTGCATTGCACTCGAGACCCTCGGCTGCAAAGAAAGGGAAAATGAAGGCGGACAACGGCGAGGCCATTGCTGTCTCACCAAGCTTATCTTGTGGGCAGAATTTTGGACCAGAAACAGAATGACCGCGCTCCCATTTCTGTATGTCAGCCCACAACCAGCACCTGCACGAAATGTACCCACACGGAAATCTATAGTCCCTACTAGCAGCCAGCCCCCCTCACGTACCTGGCATTGGTGGTGCTCCAATATGTGCATCTGGGATGTTGCTGGCAGAGAATCTGACACCTCCTGGGTGAAAACAGCCACGTGGGGACCTCCTGCAGAAACGCGCGAATGCACGTTAGATACAACACACGACAGAGATCCTTTCCACGGACACTGCGTATGTGTCTGTCTCTCTTGTCTGTCTGTCTGTCTGTCTGTCTGCCTCGTCTCATTGTCACCTCTAACAAAGTAGCCGATCCCTCTTTCGTCTTCTCTCCTTTCCGATAAAACAGTGCGTCCCTCTTTTTGGCTATTACGAGCCTTTTGTCTGGCTCGTCACTGATTGGCTCGTAATAGGGTTTCTTTTTTGGTCTGTTTATTTGACCAAACAAAGATTTTTCGTTCTGTCTGTCTGGCATGTTTCTTTCTCCCCTGCTCACGTGTAGCATCCGCAGCCGGCAATGCGATCGTAAGATGCTGAGAGAAAGGAAGAAGGAAGGAAGGAAGGAAGGAAAGAAAGAGATCATTTCATTCTTGCTCAATTTCTGACTAAGAGCCACTGACTGACAGAGAGCATACATTGTGTCACAGGGAAGTCTGGATACGCCGAGCGAAGCAGCTCCAGCGAGGTCCACAGGTTCTGGGATTTGAGCTTTTCCACGTCTTTCTCAGGTGGAGTGAGCAGCTCTGTGGGTGGATCGCAGGCCCGACCATAAATGAACCCTGTCGTCGTCCCTAACTGACACATCTTGAGCCCTGCACACACATACCGCATCCATGTATGTGCCCACTGTTGCCCATCCCCCATTTCGCATCTCTCTGTGCTCCCTGACTCACCATCAGGGGCATCGTACTTGGGCAGGCTGCAGGAAAAGAAAGAATTGTTGACGTGTGCAATGTATGTGATTGGTTTCGCAGCTGACCATGCCCATCCTTGGCGGCCAACCCAGCTCAAGGAGAACCGAACAAAATAGCGGCATTCTGGAAATTCAGCGCACTTCTGAAAGACACGCAGATGGGAACAGCAGGCAGGCAGGCAGACACACCACCGCATGACCACTTCCGTCTCCTCCTCCGCGCCATACATTGACGTACCTGCCGACACTCCTCGACCGTTAGATTCTTGTGCAAGTACTGTTTCGTAGCGTCGTTCCTGTAGACACAAAGAAACCAATCCGTCAGCGTGCCCATATACGCATATCCCTTTCGTCTCGCACCAGAGTGTCGCGACCTGACATACAGACACACACACACACACGCGCGCGCGCGCAGAGGGTCCCCTGGGCGTCCTTCGCATCTTTCTTTCTCCCTCGGCGTACATTATTCTGGTCACATGGCCTGGCCTCGTCAAGGGGGCGGCAATCCTGAGCGCCACGTCGCCCATACGAGCCACTTCCCGCTAACACGGAGCTGACATTGGTCAAAAGGGAGCACTCGTACTTCCTGTCCACCGACACACAAAAACACTCAGACAGACACGAGCCACGTGTCTGTCTGAGTGACTGACCAATCGAATGTCCACGCCATACAGGCGGTATTCTCTTTGCAGGCATTTGCACACTGCTCTGGCATCCAGACCTGCATATGTGACAGACGTAATTGACAGCCTTCCCCTGCTCTGTCCCTCGCCCTATCTGTTTGTGTGTGCGTTCACAGGCATTCGTTCCACCTTTTGCGTACTGATGGGATCTGGATCCTGCAGAAAGGCACCTGCATGACACGTCGAAATCAATTGTGACCTGAGAGATCTCATCTGCCACACCGATTACCGACCATCGAGCGTGGCGTTCCATTGCTGCACGACAAAAGCAATCATGCATGACCGAATGATGCTTGAGTGGATTTGCTCACCCAGCAGTCGCCGTTGAGCTGTTCGAGAGTGGCTGCCTGTCTGACAGCAATCTGGGTTGCAGGTGGCCGGTACTGGACTTGTGCCGACGCGCAAGCAATGATGATACAGGCGCAAAGGCAGAGCGCTGGCGCTTGGCACGAGTGCAGCTCCATGGAGGGGAGATCTGCGTTCGGGAAAAACCCATGTAACGGAACTCTACGTACTCATCGCTAACACGATGCGAGAGAGAAGGGAAGGATACGAGAAATGAACATACCAAGAGACTGCAATGGAGAAAATTGAGAGACATGTCCTACATAACTTGGGATGCTTTGTTGGCACGCCCACTTCCGTTTTCCTTTTCATGACATATGTCCTTTTAAACTTGACAGCATCATCACATCGTCTTTATTGTCCTCTATGACTACAGGAAGTGTGCATGACTTCATCTTCGAGCCTTAAGTAAGTACGACTCGGGGGTATACGAGTAAGTAATTACGACTCGGGAGTATACGACTCTCTCGAAAGCGAGAGATCCTTCCACGCTTATTTTGGCCCTTGCTCCCTAGTGCCCGCCGTACGAAGGCAAGGCGGCGTCGCCCAGATCACACAGAAGCACGCACACGGCCCGCGCAACAAACCACACGATGATAAGCACACACAGTGTCACACACGAGACGATACACTCGTACACACACGGGTAGCATGAAGCCAAGCACAATCACATCACCACACAGCACCCAAGCGACTGCGGCCCACAGCATAGATACACCACGGATTAAAGCAGGGATTGAAACCGAGGGATACCTCGTGAGAAGTCAACATGACCCGCACATCCATAAAATGCCACAACCATTCACACACGCATATCGGACAGCCAACAAGCGAACGCCCACAGAGTGAATGCGCGCACCATGACCATGGCCGACGAAAAACCCATCTATCCATGCCAGCATGAATAGCATCAAAGGAGTGCATCTGGATGGGACTGATCCATCCCATATACGCTCTCATGAATGGAGCACTCGAAGTCAGACAGACAAACGCCCACGAAGAGAGAAACACAGGGAGGAGACGAAGATCCCCACAGACAAAGAGAGCGAGAGGCATGGCAGCCACACAGGACGGACAGCCGTGTAACAGACAGCCACACAAGAGACCGACAGGAAGAAGCGATTGCAGGCGACGGACAGACAGCCAGACAGCCGGACAAGCACAGTACGAATTAGCAAACGAACAACACGTAAGGGGGAAAAGTGAGACCCCACCTTTGTGCTTTGCCTGTCTCTGCTTTGATCCATTCTCTTTCTCGTTGCAAGAGAGCCCAACAGAGCCCCAACTATCACACAGATGATCCACGCAAGCCTCATAAAACCACATAGGGGCACCCACAATAAGCGTTCGCACGGCATGAACGTCAGACATGTCAGCATGGCAGATAAAGAACTCATCCGTCCATGCCCTAGCACCCACTCTGACAGCACGAGGTCAAACCAAGCCACAGCACCCAAGCGACTGCGACCCACTAGCATAGATACACTACGGAATAAAAGGAATTCTCTGTCCCTCAACTACAATTGCCTCAGACATTTTACGGGCAACCGCTATAAAAGCGTACGCACGATCAACCAACGCACGTACGGTACGGATGCGTCCACCATCTGGATGGGACTGATCCATCCCATACGCGCTCTCATGAATGGAACACTCGAAGTTAGACAGATGGACGCCCGCCCACAGAGAGGGACAGGGAGGAGACGAAGATCCCGGCAGACGAAGAGAGCGAGACACATGGAGACGTACGAGACGGACAGCCTCGTAGCAGACAGCCACACAAGAGACCGACAGAAAGAAGCGAGCGCAGGCGACGGAGAGACAGCCAGACAGCCGGACAAGCACAGTACGAACCAGCAAACGAACAACACGTAAGGGGAAGAAGTGAGACCCCACTACGGAGTACCTGTGTTTTGCCTCGTGCCAATCTCTCCTTTGCCCTGCCCCCGCGGCCAAGTAGCCAACACGAACCGCACGATTACCCCCAGTATGTTGACGGCCGACAACGCCAGAGCTGACAGTGTCAACGGAGGAACAGAGTCCGCCAGTGCCCCATCGCCTCCACTCAAAAACAAGGTCAGAAGCTGCATGCAGCGGCCAAAGATATACAACGCACATACATAGTCACGATTGTCCTTCCCCTGTTTCGCTCTCACCTGAACGATACAGATCGGCACGTCGCCGACCAATGACAGCAGCTCGAGAGATGCGAACGCGTCACTTGCCACTGGGGTAGACAGGAATGGCAAGTCTGCCAGCTTGGACCACATGATGTGAAGCACACCAATGCTGAGTAACCACAGGCAAGGCACACACAAATCATACATGATGCGTCATGTCTGCATGTCTGCGTGCACCCTCACTGACCTGAAAAATGACGCAAAGAACACCAGAACGAGGCCGGACCCTCTCTGTCCCTGCACCGTATCTCCCTCCCCCTGCACCGTGTCTCCCTCCCACTCCCGAGAGAGGGATTTCCTGCTCAGAGTGGCGTGCCACTCGTGAGAGAGGGATTTCCTGCTCAGAGTGGCGTGCTTGCCACCACTGCTGCTGTGCTCCGTCTCGGCATCTTGCCCCCCGCCACTCGATTCAGCCGGAGGGGTAAAGCAAGGGACGGACTGGGTCTCGCAGGGCACTGCGCGGCGACTGTCGCTGATATCCTCTTCCGTGAGGATGCACGTCTTGGTCGACTCTGACGGCTTGACAGATGCGGCGCCAGATTCCGTGGCGGATGGTTCGTGCTGATGAAGGGAGGGAGGGAAGACTGCTGCGGAAGAGAGCTCAGATATCGAGAAGGTTGGACAGTAGGACACGACGTCGTCCACATCGCCGTCTTTGGGGCTATCTCTAGGCCCGGCCGTGTGCATGACGATTGACGCATCGAAGGTCACGGCTTTCTTGACGGGCACAAACGTTTCGGTGTCTGAGGGCGGCTTCTTGGGTATTGTCGACGACCTCTCGAACCACCTTCGATAAGTAGGATTACGCAGGACCTGACAGCACACATGCATGCAACACATGTGCACGGCGGCTACGCGCTTCACTCATTTGCTGTCGCGTACCCATGACATGTTGTATATGACCACAGATGCCTCATTGAACAGCACGCGAGCCACAAACAAAGCCGCGCCGATCCAAAACAATAACCCATTGTGGCCAAAGCGGAACATAGACGCAACGAACAACACTGAATAGAACAGACAGTCAGACAGATACACAGACGTACACACGATGATCACGATGACCCATCTCTCCTTCTTGTTGTTGAACTCACCGTGAACAATCGATCCAAGGCCGGCGATGACCGCTGCCAGCACCCGCCAAATGACCGTCTGGCCATTCTGCTTTCTACGATGAAGCGCGTAGGCAAATGCGACGAGCACAATCGTCCACACAGCGAGGAGTATCACAAACGGACGAAAGTCGATCTGTGAACACAAAGAACGACAGAGGAGGCCATTGGCATGGAGCTGATGCCTTTTTTTGGTCCTTTTTCCTACGTTAAAAGGGCAGCTCTGGCCATAGCCCATGCTCACATTAGGCACCCGCAGCACGAGGAGCGCAAATGTGCCGTAACGAGCGCGGTAGTGATCCACGTTGCAAACATACCCCTCCTCTGCAGTGCAGCCACATCAAAACAGAAGCACAGCCGTGAGGGTCAGTCGGGGTGTATTCACGGCATTGTTTGCTTCGTGCCTGCACAAAATGCATACCGATGAGCTGCTGAGGGCACTGACGGGGGCCACTGACACTGATGGGGGCCGACTGGTCTGCAACCCAGCTTGTCACATTCGCCCACAAGACACACTCGTTTACCACCGACTGAAACGCCTCGCACAGCGGAGTCAGCTGGCACTAGAATCACGGACAGGCACACAAAATCAAGGAGATTCAACCACTCAGACTTTTTCCCGGACATTGGCGGCCTGCAATCAGGTGCACCACTCACCTGAATCTGGCAGTCTCCTGGTGGGAAGTGCCATCTGCACATGACAACACAGAAGGAGCATAACCAATAGATCCTCCCGACGCGGCCCACATTCCTGTCTCTCTCTCACATGAGCAGTGATTGCAGAACTGTTGCGGTGTTCGGGTCTGGCTGCAGCCCGATATGGTAGCAACCGCAGTTCTCGACTGGCTCATCCGCCTTGACCGCATAGGGCAATGAGACGTTGAGGAACGGAGGGATACCCCGGTCCCCTCTGTGATAACCCCGCTCCTCCTTGGTGCCTTTCTTGCCCAGGGCCCGTGAATTTGCATCGACTGGTAGGCCGAAATACAGGGACGGGTCAGCAGGGGTCATGTGCATCCCGCCTGCGTCAAAAGGGGGCATGTGGGCCGGAGGGAATGGGGCGTCTGGCGGACCGCAGTCATGGCCATCCACATCCCCACTAATGACACCAGGCATGCACACTCGCACACGGGTGTTGTCGAGGAGGAAGCACACGTTGCTGAGCAGTTTTCCCTCTCGGTCGGGGCTCGGGTAGCGGGGGTGGAATGAGAAGCCTTCGCACTGGGAGAAATCGAACACAGAATGTCCATTAGCACGTTCGTTGTGCATTTGGTTGGGATCTGTCTGTCGGGTCGCCCACCTGTGCAATGGCGTGGCAGCGTGCATGGCAGTCGTGGACGGTGGCGTTGTCTTTGTAGTCCCATGCCTCTTGTCTTCGAATACCGCCATCGATTGTGAGAATATTATGCATGATCGCTCCGACACCATACTGATAACACGACGACACGATCGAACCTGATAGACAGACAGGCAGCCAGACAGACAGACGTGCAAATACGCCGGCCGACACCCTCTCGCCGTCCGTCCCCTTCTCTGTCTGACTGACCTCTGTCACAGTCTGTGGAATACTTGCTTCCCGAGACCACCACCTCCTCATGGTTGCCTGCCGTGTCCACCCATATCGCCTCCTCCCTCCCCGCATTCGACGTCTTGTAGTAGCACCCACCCCTCTCATCAGACAATTTGCCGTAGCTCCAGAACAAACACCGTTCGTCGTATTGACAGCCCCTCTGACAGTCGCTGGTTCACACGATGAATGGAACCAACGAGATGCATGAAAACCGTGAGAGAGCGTGCTGCCTGCGCTTACTAGGGGCCTCTGATGTTAATGTTGGGTTGGGCGTCGTCGACGTCGTATCCCCTGAAGAATGTGTCCCATTCCCAACACGTCGGCTCCTCGGGCATCTTGAACACATCGAATGCTGATTCAGAACCTTCAGAACCATTGCCTCCCCCGTCTTGAAGCTCACGGACGCCTGCCAGAGGCCAGATTCACACACTCTTACCAACAGACCACCAGAACGCTTGATCGCTGCTTCCTACCGTTGACTGCCTGTATGGCAAGCACAACACAAGCGCCAAAGATCAAGCCAAAGATAAGCCCAGCCGGCCGCATCAAGCGCTGCATCCTGCGCATCCTCCACCCAAGTGCGGGAGGTCCGAGGAAGATGCTGCTTGGGGGGGATGCTGATTGCGCTTCAGGAAGCCCTGTTGCCTCTCCACTAAATGAATGCAAGGGTTACAAACCTTCACAGGGTTACAAACCTTACCCTGTAGCCCCTCAAGCCCTTTGGCTCGCCGCCCTCATGCAGATGTCAAGCACAAAGCGGAAGGCTTAGCACCACCGTCTCAAGGCCACGCTCTAATTAGTCAGTCTTGCTAATTGGGCCACCTCGTGTGGCACGGCAGCATCCCATCAGCCCCCCTACCAATTACACGCACGCCCTCATTCACCACATGCATGTCGACTGTGCAATGCGCACCTACCGCTACACACTACACACATATATGCGTCCTGCCTGCCTGCCTGCCTGCCTGCTGTCCTAGCTACGCCATCACGTGACGGTGACTGTCTTGGCCAGCCCTCGAGGCTTGTCCGGGTTGATCTCTCTGGACACACACACAAGAAGCCGCACAGGCATCCATCTATCTATGTGTTTCTGCCCCTCCCTCCCGCCCACCTAATGAGGGCCAGTGCGTATGCGATGAGTTGCAGGGGGATGACGGCGAGGAGTGCGGTGAGCGGCCCGTTGGACGGGATGACTATGACGTCGTCGGCGACCTCCTGCACCATGGCCGGGTCGTCGGTGATGCAGATCAGGTGGGCGCCACGCGCTCGCACCTGCTGGGCGGCGTTGATCATCAGAGGCGCATGCTGGTCGCCGAGCACCAACAGGATCACTGATTGCGGCACAAGAAATATCGTGGAGTGAGAGGTGACTTATGATGCTTTTATGTGTGTAGGTACCTGGGGTCCTGGCATTCTCGTCGATGAGGGCGAATGGACCGTGCTTGAGCGCGCCCCCAGCAAACCTGCAAAGCGAAAGGCAAGAGATGGCATGAAGGGGCCGCCCAACGAGTGTGTGTGTGTGTGTGTGATGGGTGTGCTGACCCTTCTGCGTGTACGTAAGATATCTCTTTGATCTTGAGTGCGCCCTCGAGGGCCACCGGGAAGGCGAACCCCTTGCCTGCAACACACCACGCGCCGGCAAAACACATAGACAAGCTGACATTTCGTTTCGTCTCTCTGTGCGTTGCCCGCCCGCTCTTACCCAGCACGAATATCGTCGACGCGTCCCTGATCTTGTGGGCTATCTGCCTGCACAAAGCACACACCGACACAAACAAGGGCATGATTAAGTCAGCATGTGTATCTGCCTTGGCCTTTCGCCTCGACTCACATGGCCTGGTCTCTGCAGTGGAGGGTCATCCCAGCATATACCGGCAGACGGTGAACTGACGCACATCAAACATGTCAGAAGTGGACGACGGACCTCTTTCTGTCCCTGTGTGTGTCTCGTGTCGTCTCACTGGCGTCCATGAGCAGTTGTCTCCTGTCGGGGAATCGTATCTTCTCCCTCTCCTGTGCGAACCACGCCGCGATGAGCGACAGCACCGTCACCTGGGACGAGAACGCCTTGGTCGAAGCTACCGCTACCTCACGACCTGCACACACAGAGACAGGCAAGACCGCCGTGTGGGCGCACCTTTTTCTCTCTCTCCCTCCCTCTCTCTCTCTCTCTCTCTGCGTGTGTACCGGCGTTGAGATAAACACCGCAGTTGGTAAGCCTGGCGAGAAGGGACCCGACGACATTGACGATCGAGAACTTGGTCACGTTGGCCTGATCGGCTACGTTGCACGCCCTGCGGAATAAAGAGGGACAGAGGGGACACACCATGATGCACTTGAGTGCATTCGGTGAGAATGAAAACTATGTGTGCAGGCTGCTGATGGCTCACCTGACGGTGTCTAGGGTCTCTCCCGACTGTGACACCAGGAGCACACCTGACATGAGCCCAACAGGCCGATGAGATGGTTGGAGGGAGAAGGTGTGTGAAAGCGCTTTCGTGTGTGCGTTTACCGGCGTTTTCCTTTGGGAATGTGTTGAGGTCCACTTCGCTCGCATCCACGGCCTTCACCTGACCCACCAATGGATGGATGGATAGACGACATACACAGATGAGAGTGTTGTGTTGTGTGTGCCTCTCCCTCCCCCCGTCCCTCCCTCCCTCGCTGCCAGACTTACCGTGTCGAAGCACTTCAGCCACTGCATGATGAGCTCGCCGTAGATACTCGCGTACAGGGACGTGCCGCACCCAGTCACCACCAAGTTGCTGACAAACACACACACATCAACTCATGCCATACTCACGTTTACAGACGGCTTCTCGGTCTCATGACAGTACCGTATCGACGCCATTCGCTCTCGGTTGTCGTCCATACCACCCAGCTTGACCCTGCAAACAACAAATGGGACAACGGATTATACATCCTTGGTTCTCGCGTCCTCTGTCTTGTGCATTAGCTACCGGTTCTGCAACGCAGAGAGCCGTCCACCGTAGTTGAGGGCCCCTGACGACCACACACAGAAACATGAGTATGCGCCATCCCTCCGTGCGTCTGTCTTACTTGCGAGGCTTTGTGGCTGCTCGAATATCTCCTTCTCCGTCCAGTGTGCGTAGGGTGCGGGCGATGTCTCCACCTTCTCCATCTTGATGTGCTGCATCGGCCTGCATCACACAAATCACAGCGGGTCGTGCACCGACAAGAGGGCGCCTTGTCTGTTGTCATACCTGGTGGCCGACAGGTGTGCGATGCCCGCTCTCGTAACGACCGCGATCTCGCCATCCTTCAACGTCAAATACTCTGGCCCAAGAGACAACACACGCTCCTCATTGACATGTTTGTGCGGCTCGTTGTGTGTGTGTGTGTGTGTGTGTGCGTTGCATTCTCTCACGGTTTGTGTGTCTTGACAGGGCCGCCGCCTCGGATGCCACGAACACCTCTCCCTCAGTGCTGCCTGCATCCACGCAGAAGGCAACCATAATTAGTCGACCGATGTCTGCGTCCTGTCCACAACAGCTGTGAGAGCGTACCAACGAGCAGCGGGGATCCGTTTCTCGCGAGGACTATGCGGTCGGGGTAGTCACGATGCACTATCGCTAAACCCCAAGTGCCTGCATAGACGCGTCCATCATCCAAATGAGTGGGCGGAGTGCATGTGCAGTCCTGGTCACCTTGCAGCTCGAGCACTGCTCGTGTGACGGCTGGCTCGAAGTCGTCGCCCTCGTCCATGAACTGATCACACACAGACACAGACGCCACGCACGCACAGACATCCGTGCATAGGGCAGAACAGCCTTCTTCCTCTCTCTCCCGTGCTCCCATTCCTACGTTGCTGATGAGGTTGGCGATCACTTCGGTGTCGGTCTCACTCCTGCAGAGGCACACAGGAGGAGGAAGCATTCATCACTGTGCATCCACCTTGTCTTGTCTCATTGTGGCTACCCACCTGAATACGATTCCCTTGTCGAGCAGCTTCTTCTTGAGGACGCTGTAGTTCTCTATCGTACCGTTGTGAACCAAACTCAGGCGGTCTTTCTGCACCATATCGACACATACACATCAGCAGGGATCCGTCCATGTCATCCATCCATCCATCCATCTGTGCACCGCTCACGTAGTCTTGGTGTGGGTGTGCGTTGGTGTCGGTCTTGGCGCCGTGAGTTGCCCTGAACGAAGAAAACCAAATGAAAGGCCAAACAGACGTTTCGCTTTGCCACACGGTAATGACTGGCTGACCATCGTGTGTGGGCGATCCCTATCTTGTGGCCGCCGTGCATCTGGACACAGACACATCCACGTAAACGCAGGTCACGTCGATGTCGGCCACACTCTATGTACCGGTGGCGATTCTCGTTCGAGTATGTCGATGGAGTCGTGTGTGCTGCCCTTGCTCGCGAATTTGGTCGTGAGCAGCTTGCCCTCGTTGATCGTCGTGATGCCTGACCATAACACAACCAACCACACACAACATGAGCGGTGAAGGACACCAAGTTCATCCCCACTATCCCTCCGCCCACCCACCGCATGAGTCGTAACCCCTGTTCTGCAGAATCGAGATGCCTGCAGCGCAGACAGCACAATCCACACACAACGAGATCACACACAGAGTGCGTCATCTCCCCACCCTCCCTCACCCCCCCTCACCTTCCATGAGGACCGGCTGCACATCTTTCTGGCCAATGTAGGCCACGATGCCGCAGCAGTTGGCCGGTGGCCGCCGCCACTTCTCACTCCACCACGCGTACCCGCCATAAGCCAGCAACGCTCCGCCCACCGACGATGCCCAGCCGGGCACGCTCCCGTCACCGCTCCGGCCGCAACGCTCGCCGCCGTCGCTGTTTTCGCGAAAACGGTGGCCGCTTGCCGCCTGTGCTGGCGCACAGGTTGCCAGGGATGCACTGGTGGTGGGAAAGCGGCAAAGCAGCCGCAGATGAGCCGCTGTCGCCGCTGTGCGAATGCACCGATCCATAGCGATGATCCGCACCGGATGAAGGATATCTGCGTGTCAGACTACGTCCACATGCCCTCAGAAGGGCGCGAAAGCCGCTTCCTGGCGGTTTCAGGGAGCATCCTCTTCCTAATTTTGCGAGCTACTAGTCGCCATCTGCGAGCTTGGTTGAGCCGCCAAGTCCCATCTTGCACGACGCCTGCAAGCAGCTCAAAGCGCTTCACACGCACGAGGACCGCACAGATCCCAGCCTGATCTGAGTGAGGTTCAGCGACAATGGCGACGGAAGGGGAGACGAACAATGAGAGGAAGGCGTCGACTGAGGACGCTGTGCCAGGCTACTCGTCGACGCCCCTGCTCGTGGGCGTGGTCGTTTCGATCATCCTCATGATCGGCGCTCTAGTCGGCCTGGGACTCGCTGCCCAGGAGCCTGCAGGTGGGCGAACCAGCCTGGCACAGATGAGTCGTGTTGGGGGGCGTGGGCGGGTGTGCCGTGCTGGGCTGAGCTGGGCTAGGAAGCAGGCAGACGTAGTAGATCTGCTTGCTAACGGCATGCCACTCTCGTGTGTGTGTGTGTGTATGTGTGTGTGTGTGTGTTGGTGGGTGAATGTCAGATCGTATGTGGGCCTTCCCGCAGGCGAGCATCGAGGTTCCGAATGTGGCCGATGACCGACCAGTCACACGTAAGGAAGGATGGTTCACGCGCACCGCACCTGTTGACTGACTGAGTGACTGAGTGATGGATTGATGGGTGGCCTGCATCTCTCCCTCTGTCTGTGTGCAGTTCCCCATGTGGCGCAGTTCGCTGGACTGGCCACTGGCTTCTTCGGCACGGCAGCCATCTGCTTCTACGCCTACTACGTGCTCAAGCAGCCGATGGGTAAATGATACACACCCACCACCCCACCACCCTCTCACAACTGCGGGTGTTTTCACAGGCAACCAGTTGATGGTCGAGATAGCGCACAGCATCAAGGCGGGCGCCAAGGCGTTCCTTTTCACCGAGTACATCTACCTCTCGGTGTTTGTGATCGTCATATTCGTCCTCGCCGGCGTCGGCACGGGCAGCAGCGCGGGCGCCTGGGATGGGTGGTGCACCGCCATCTGCTATCTCATCGGGGCCGCACTCAGCGCCGCTGCGGGATACACCGGAATGATCATCGCCACGGAGGGCAACTCGCGGACCAGTTGGGCCGCATACAAAGTAGGCAGTGCGGGAGGGGAAGAGATGGGGTGAGTGCATTGAAGGGGGAACATGGCGTGGTGTGATCGGTCGTCCGTCTGTCTGTCAGAGTTTGAGCAACGGGCTGCAAGTGGCGTTCCGCAGTGGTGCGGTCATGGGGCTGTCCGTCGTGTCGTTCGGAATCATCGGCCTCTCCGCCGTTCTCTTTATTCCCGACAACGTGCGTGATTGACCAACAACACACGGAAACCCCTTCAAGCTCACTCGTGTGTGCGTCTCTCCTTCCAGGGCATCGTGTCCATTGCTGGCTTCTCGGCCGGTGCATCCTCAGTGGCCCTCTTCGCCCGTGTGGGCGGCGGCATCTACACAAAGGCAGCTGACGGTAATAAGCGCATGATATTAGAGGGCCGGTGCGTCAAACACACGCACTCACTGTCTGTTTTCCTGTGCAGTGGGTGCCGATCTGGTGGGCAAGGTGGAGGCCGAGATCCCTGAGGATGACCCGCGCAACCCCGCAACCATCGCTGACAATGTCGGCGACAACGTTGGCGACGTCGCCGGTTAGTGCACACACACACACACGGGGCCATCGATTCCCTTTTCCCATTCCTGTGCTGTTGGCAATAGGTATGGGGTCTGACCTGTTTGAGTCGTTTGTGGGTTCGATTGCGGCTGCGGTGATCCTCGCGGCCCGCCAGAACGACCTGGAAGACTACGCCGACTTCGCCGTGGCCTTCCCCTTCTGGATCTGCGCCATCGGCATCATCGCGGCCGTCGTCTGCACCGCTTACCTTCGGTGCAACGAAAACTCCAGCATGAACGACGTGAGTGTGTGGGTGGACGAGCCCATCCAGTCGACGCACGAGAGAGAAAGGGCTGGATAGCACTCTATCTCTCTTGTCTTGTGTTTGCTTTGTGTGGTCAGTTGTTGAATTCGATGCGTATGAACGTGGTGGTTTCTGCGGTGCTCATTGTGCTGGGTGTGCTGGCGACGGTGCTCATCTACTTCTACGAATACTACACGCCGTCTAATGCGTGCATCCCAGAAGATGGGGAGGCGCTGGGCCGCAACTGCTTCACCATCCAGGCCGCCATCGGCATGTGGGGGTGCGTACTCATCGGACTCGTTGCCGGTGAGCTGGACCATAGTATAGACATACAGATGCATGCAGGCAAGGAGCGATTTTGCTGTGGGGTGACGTGGTGTGGTTTGGTGGATGGGTTAAGGTATCTTCATTGGTTGGATCACTGAGTACTTCACGAGCAGTGAGGACCCTCCCACTCGGTCAATTGCCCAGGCCGCTGAGTTCGGTGCCGGACCCGTGATCATCCAGGGCATGGGCATGGTGAGTTGGGCCTCGAGTGCATGAAGAGGCAGATACGTGTCGGACTCATTTGTGTGTCGCTCTTTTTCGCAGGGCATGTTGTCGACCACTGTGCCGCTGGTCTTGGTTGTGAGCACCATCATCTCGACCTACAAGATCACCGGCTTCTACGGCACCGCCATCGCCGCCGTGGGCATGCTCTCAACCCTTGGAGTCACCATGGCCACCGGTATGTATGCGACGTGGGGCCTCTCGAAAGAAGGCATAGCACACCCATCTTTCTCTCTTTGTGCGTGTGTCAACAGACGCGTACGGCCCCGTGGCTGACAATGCCGGTGGTATCAGTGAGATGGCCGAGCTGCCCGAGTTTGTGCGCGACCGGACCGACCGGCTCGACGCACTTGGAAACACCACTGCTGCCACTGGTGAGTGAACGACATGTATCCCCACATGAGGTGGATGTCCGCTCACCGGTTTCTCTCGCGCCTTGCTGTGATCAGGTAAGGGTTTCGCCAACGGTTCTGCGGTGCTGGCGGCCCTGTCGCTGCTGGCGGCCTTCACGTACGAGGTGAGCAGCGATGAGCAGCCGCCGCAGCAGGCTCTGCTCGACACGAAGTCGCCCACGCCATACAACGCCTTCGTTATCTCCGAGTGGACCATCTGCGGGTTGCTCATCGGCGCCGTGCTGCCCTTCATCTTCTCAGCATGCACCATGCTCGCCGTCGGACGGTCCGCACAGGTCCGTTGCTTTCATTTGTGTGTGAGTGCCTGCGTACGTACGTGCACCTGTGTGTTTTGTGTTGTGCAGGCCATGATAGTGGAGGTCCGTCGTCAGTTCGCGTCGATTGAGGGGCTGCGCGAGGGACGACCGGGCGTCAAGGCGGACTTCACCAAGTCAGACAGACCGACACAACAAAATCTCGAGAGAAGAACGCCATCCCCGTCTGGTTGTGTGCAGGTGTGTGGAGATCTCCACGAAAGCCTCGATCCGCGAGATGATCTTCCCGGCGCTTCTGTCCATCCTCGCCCCTCTCTGTGTGGGCCTCCTCATGGGCCTCAGCGCCCTCACGGGCCTTCTGGCGGGCGCCCTTGCCACTGGCTACCTGCTGGGTGTCATGATGAACAACGCCGGCGGCGCGTGGGATAACGCCAAGAAGTACATCGAGGCGGGTAATTTGAAGGACGTGGACGGCAACGTGATGGGCAAGAAGTCCGAGTGGCACAAGGCTGCTGTGGCTGGCGACACCGTGGGCGACCCCTTCAAGGACACCAGCGGCCCCTCACTCAACATCCTCATCAAGCTCATGACCGTCTTCGCCCTCGTCTTCACGCCCGTCTTCAAGAGCAGCACAAAAGACCCGTCTGCCCTGCTGGTGCGGAAAGGAGAGGCAGGGAAAAAGGAACGCATCCACACACGGCGGTGTGTGTGTGTGTGTTAGAACGATGGTACGTACCCCGGCATTGGTGTGACGGCGGGCGCTCTCATTGTGCTGGCTGCTCTCTTCTACTGGAACGTGAGAGTCGACAAGAACGTCAGGGAGCAGGCACGCGCCAAGACCATGGCAGCCAAGGTGAGCGCAGCCACTCACCAAAAACAGAGACGGAAAGAAAGAGGCACACAGACAGCCAAACAGCCAGACAGACACGTACACACATATTCCCATGATGGTCTCTCTCTCTCTCTCTCTGTGTGTGTGTGTGTGTGTGTAGGCTGAGGAGAGGGCGCGTCACGAGGGCCACCGCACTGGCCAGGGCGAGGCGCCCATTGACACAACCGTCGATGTCACACCTGACCCCTCCAATGTCTGATGATCGATCGGCACAATACAAATGACTGACAGCAAGTACGTGAACGTGACTGTTTAGGTTGTACGTTCGTGAGCGAGTGCATGAATGCATGGGTGCCTATCTAACCGGATGTCTGACTGTCTGCCTTCTGCCCGACATGTGATCTGTTACTCTCGCCCCTCTCGCTTTTGATTTCTCTCTTGGTGTCGTCTGCCTGCCTGCCTGTCTGTCTGGCTGTCTGAACGTACCTACCGTGTCTCACTCGTTCATTCACACAGCCGTCCTTCCCGTCTCTGGATGCTCTCCTTTTTCTTCTCTATTTGTCAATCAGCAAGGCCTGACACACAATACAACACAACACATCACATCACAGGCACCCCTCTTAAGCACATGGCAGTGGGGACAGTAAGGGTAAGTGTCGGTCGCTCGTGCGCAGAGGAAGAGAGCATCCGTGAGGAGAGAGGTGTCCGGTCGGTGAGTGATTCGTTTTTGTCGGCACACGTACACATACATACACACACTCATGCGTACATGTTCGTGCGTACTTGTACGGTCTACACGTGTATGGAACCATACAGACAAACTGAGTGGATCGACCGGCAACGGCGACACACATATACACACTTTTCACAGATCTGGTTGGAGAGATTGGTTGGATGCGTGTACGGATGTGGTTGCTGCAGTGATTGCTTCACAAGTCACACGGCGTGGTGCGTTCAAGGGAGCCACTCGCTGCTGCATGTCGGTCGGTCGGTCGGTCAATTTTCGGTCCTCATCCATAGGGCGTCCGCACCGTGCTTCTCTGTCAGTCTGTCAGTCTGTCTGTCTGCTGCGTCGCTCTCGCGTCTATCGGGCTGCGGTTTGCTTCACATGAACACAACAGTTCACTCTTTGCTTTTCTGTAAGGACAAGATCACCACACACACACAACAACAAGATTGTTCCAACTCTTCTGGGCTGGCAGACAGGGGATGAGCGCATCCACCATTTTTCTGCTTACTCGAATGGCCGAATGGGGGGGGACGGGAGACAGAATGCCTCTGGGTTCTTCTCTGCGCTTCTCGCCTGCTCACACGGGGGGAGGGAGGCTATTTTTCCTGTCAATACTACACTCATCCCCTATTGATGTATACAGCATTAATACAGCAGCATCCACACACATTGACAGAGCGGGTGGACAGACAGACAGACAAGCACAGAAGGCCGGTAGGCTTCATTTTATCGGAACAAGAAGTTTTTGGTTGCTTTGAGGAGAGGAGCGAGCGGGGAGGGGGGGGGGGGG